ACACTAGTGCAGGAATGGGCACATGGCCCAAGTCTGGTTTCTAGACATCTCCTCTTGGAATTTTAAGTTATTGTTAATAAAGCTGGGTTTGAAGAATGATGTTTCCTCTTTGGTCCAAAGGATATAATGTCTTAAGTTCACAGGTGCCTGTGGTCATAGCCCCAGTGCTTTGGGAAGGGAAGTATTATGCAGAAGGAAGCTGAGATGAAAGAAAGTAGAGTTCTTCCTAAGACTTTTCATGCCTGGGTCTGACTGCTCCTGGAGCTCCTCCTCTGCCCTTTCCATTAATCAATGCTTATGCTACTGTAAATTGGATTTCTATCCCTTCCAACCAAAAGAGTCTTGATGAATGCAGCATGGGATACACTTAGTATAAAACAGATGGCACATCATAAATGCTCATAATAAATATTTGGCACAGGAAGTGATCCCATAAAAATGGCTCAGACCTTCCAGCCTTATGGAATCTTTGCTTTAAGATGAATTTAGAACTCTGTGTGTGTGTGTGTGTGTGTGTGTGTGTGTGTGTGTGTGTACACATGCATGCATGTGTGTGTATGCACAGTGTGTACATGCACACGTGCACTGGATGAAATAATTATGTACAATCAAAAGAAGAGAAAGAAATCCCCACATCCACTCTGTCTTTATTTTCATGCAGTACTAACTTTGGATGTAGTGAGCTGCTGAAGCTGGAGATCAATCCCATGTGCCTGGTTAAAGCAAGCCTTGCCCTGAGAACATGAAAGCCAAAGGTAAGCCATGTAAACAAGCTGTTGCAGCTCCAAGAAAGCTAGGTGCTCAGGGGAGCCATACAGAGTTGCCAAGCAGAGGGGCTGAAATTGACATCAACCCCCTGAGTGTATAAATAAATGCCGCGCGCAGTAGTTGAGCAGTTACTTTCCTCCCATTCGGAGAGAGGGCTCCACCTGATCCCAGCTTTCTGTGTCTTGCCTTTATTTCTTCACCTTCTCCTGGACCTTCACAGTCCTCACTCTGGGACGTTCAAGAGCTGTGGCACGAAAGTCACAGCATTTGGATATTTTGTTTTTATTTAAAAAGGGAAGTGTTTTAATTGGGTGGTCTGGTATGGCTGATCCAAGTCCTTGGATAAGTTCATATATTAATAATTTATTGATAACTTCTGCCTGACCAGCCTGACACTACCATTTATAAGGAAATAAAGACCTATCATCTCAAACCTTTTTTCAGGCCTACGGATCAAACCCAGGGCTCTGTTCATAGTGACTGGTTGCTCTGCCACTGAGCTACATCCTTTGCCCTTGTTTACCATGTTTTTAAAACCAGGGCAGATCATCCATCTGGCTAGAGAGAATGTCCAATACTCATCTTTCTTTCAAAGGGATTTCCTTTGATTGCCAGTTATCTAAATACATCAAGCCCCTCTCTAGATATGAGAGAGATGAATGTGACAGATATGGCAAAAGAGATCAGGGGAGAAAGGCTTTGAATAGGACTGCAGAAACTATAAGTGGTCACTTCAAATCTTACTATGCTTCCTTCAATCAAAGAAAGCCAAACTAGAACAATCAATTAGGAAGCCAAGGTGCCGAAGAATGCACAAACTCATACCTGAGTTACTAATTATTTAAATATAGAATTTTCAGGGCCTGTCATCAAAGGATCCCTAGAACAACTTGAATATGTGGCTCTCATCATGTTAAAACAACAGGATCTGATGCACCCAAATATCTCACATCATTATGGCATATTAAGAATCTATTGTGTAAATCTTACAGAAAACCTGAATGATTATGGCTTTAAAAATATGAGGTTGGCCCTGGGTTTAGCTCAGTGTCATAAGTGCCTGCTTGGCAAACATGAGGTCATGAGTTCAATCCCCTGCACCAAAACAAAAAAAAAAAAAAAATGAGGTTGGGTTTTCTGTACTCATGGTTTGAACATGTTGATATTTTGCTTCATGGTCATAAGTAAGAGGGGCAGCTCCAGATTTCATGTCTGTGTTCAAGCAAAAAGAAGAGTGGTAGTAGTTTCTTCTGCCACCACCCACTTAGAAAGCAAGAATTTTCCTGAAAGATTTTCCAGCACAAAACCAATGTGTTTAATTGGCCATATCTGATCTTGTGATCCCCCCAAACTGTGATAAAAAGTGAGAGACCGTCTTAGACCTTGACCAATTGTCTCACCTGGGTCCATGACTGTCCCAACAAAATTGTACTTATGTTATCTAGAAGAAGGAAGGCCTGGACATTGGCTAGATAAGCAATGATGCATGTATCCTGGTTTCATTAAGATCTACTTGTGTTAGTTACTTCTCCCTCATTGCTGAGACAAAATACTTGACATTCCAAGTTAATGGAAAAATGATTTATTTAGCTCACAGTTTGTAGAGGTTTCAGTCCATAATTTGCTGGCTCCAAGGCAAGGTGGTAAGGTAAACAGGCATAAAAGAGGAGAAACAGTTCATGGTGGGCAGAACATAGCAAAGCAAGCAATGGACCTTCGCAGCAGCTTTCTGTTATCCCAGACTACTAGTATTGAGGCAGTCCCAAACCAATCAGTACACTGATTTGGTATCACATACTCTTATTCCCAGGATCATGTACTCTAGATCCAGACACCTTTGAAAAAGGCCCACCTATGATTATATGAGGTTTTGGGTAGACACCTAGGCACAAGCCATAACATTTATTTCCAAAAATTATCCCAAATGTGAGACTTTCCTGTTGTCATGATCTGACATATTAACAAACTGTAATGCAGCATAGTCCACAGCATTGTCCCCAATGAAAAGAAAATATCATCTCTTCTTTAAGGATCAATCTTTCTACTCTGTCTTTTCAGGAGCATTTACTGCATAGGGTTGTATTTACAGCAAAGCCTTTTGATCCTACCTACTTAGATCTATATGAGCCTTAAATATCCATACAAAGACTATTATAATATTTTAATACGTAAGAGTCAAAAGGAAGGATAGTTTTACCTGGCATACCTCTTCTCTGAATGATAGGAAGATTCCTTCTGAAAACAACTTAAGCCTGAAATCCAGAAACAGGTCATGTGCCCACTCTCTCACCTTTATTCCAACACACAATCTACTGAAGGCAAAGCAAAAATCACACAAATATACCTCAATAACCACCGGTACACACTTTATTGAACTTAAACATTCCATCCAAACTGCACCACAGCAAAAACTCGTAGTCAATAACCCTTTACTTCTCAGAGGTTCACTCTGGTCCCAAGAAAAGTCAAACAAAAGAAACACTTGCTATGATTAGTTCTGAAGTGAAACGATCTGGATGGAATTATTCTGATTTTTACTTACAGGAACATATGTGCCAAATGACCAAATTCCTCTGTCATCATTCACTCCTGGGGGTAGGTAAAATGTCTTCATGTTAGGTAATGAGTGTTCTTGAGGCAGCTTTCTTGTGTGGGTGGCACAGCAGTTAGGGCTCACAATGGTTGGATTCTAATATTTGACCACCTGTACCATGCCAAATTGGAGGACAGACCATGGGAATAATTCTATCAATGTTTCCTTCCTTCTGAAGTTTAAAGATAAGAGGACTTCCCATACCAACACCTTTACTATGTGAAGCTCATATGAAAATTCAGTATAAGATGATCATGGTTACATCATCTTTAATCAGATGGCTAATATGAATTCATTTTAATAAAGTGACAGATGTTAGGTCCTTAACTCCTTATAAATGGCAGTGATGGACTGGTCCTTTATTCACCCATCAAGCTACTTGTTTGGTTTAGTAAGTAGAAGCCATTAACATACAAATTTTATTCAAGGACTGGAGGATCAACCATGGCAGAGCAGACCATGAAAAAAATGCCCACTTTCTTAAATAAAAATAGAGCCCTCTAAGACTAACAGTAGCAAGGGAATCATGCAAAGGAACAGAGTACCAAGTGCACAAAGCCTGAAAGCACCTTCTGCAACACCACAAAGCCCAAGCTGGCTGTCCTGTCTCGGCCTCTCTAGCTTAACACTGAGGATGTAACTGTACCTTGAATGTCTCCTTGCATAGGTAAAATGAAGTTGGAATGCTTAACCAAGCTAAGAAAGAAAACAATAAAGTGGAACTGCATGGAGTGTAACACTGAACTAGGTAAAATGGTCCAGACACATCTCCTTCCTGGCTTTCAGGGCGTCCTGTTCTATCGACTGCTGCATGAAGGGGCCACTCAGTGAAGGTGTGTAAGAAACACATCACCATGGCTAAGTCCTGAGAAGACAACCCTGAGGCCAGCTCTCAAAGAGATGAAGAACTGCCTCCCATGTAAGGCTTACCTACCTTATAAATCCTTGCAGAAGATGTTCTCAGGCAGAATTGCAGCACTGCAGATGAAGGTAGACTGATCACTGCACGATGTACTTGTCTTTATCCCTTGCTTCCTTCCCTACATTCACTCATTCGTTCTGCCTGTTAATGTTTAGACTGAGCATACTCTCCAAATGGCTCGTGTGTTTTGAGGAGGTCTTTTGAAAGGTGATTGGATCAGTGATTTAACCCATTGATGAGTTTAGAGGTAAAACTGGTTAGGAAATATGGCTTGGTCAAAAAAGGTGGCTCACTGGCAACCTGCTGGAAGGATTTACGTGTCTCCCTCCCTGGCTCCTTCTCTCTCTCTCTCTCTCTCTCTCTCTCTCTCTCTCTCTCTCTCTCTCTCTCTCTTTCTCACACACACTCTCTCTCTCTCTCTCTCTCTCTCTCTCTCTCTCTCTCTCTCTCTCTCTGTTTCTTGGCTGCCATTGGTTGGGCAGCTTTTCTCCCATCATGCCCTCTGCCATTCTGTTTCTACCTTGGAGCCATCCAACCTTGGACTGAAACCAGGAGTCAAAATAAATCTCTCCCCCTTTAAGCTACAAGTGTTGAGTCTTGCAATGGGAAAGTGACTAAGACCCCTTTCTCTTGTTTATCCAATCACTGAAAAAAAATCATTGAATCTCCATTATGTTCTAGACAATGTGTTGAGGCTACAGTGATAGAGAAAATAGCTCTAATCTGTTTTCTTATTTATTTTACATTTTGAATTTTCCTAGCCCTATTAAAGTATAATCAACAGAAATTATATATATTTAAGGTATACAATGTGATGGCTTGATAGGCAAATACACCGTGAAGTAGTCACCACAATCAAATTAATTAACACATTCATCACTACACATCGTTTCCATTTTTGGTGTTTGTATAGTCAGCACAGTTAAGACCTAGTTTCACAGAGAAGTCAGTATGCTGTATACTGGATCCTGAACTCTTACCTCTTTTCCCACAGAAGTTACAGCCTAGGGAGCCTATGCTTTCAAAATAGTTGCTAGTCTGGCACAGAGGTCCATGCATATAGACCCAGCACTCTGGGAGATTGAGGCAGGAGGCTTCCAAGCTCAAGCCCAGTCTGGACAACTGGTTGATTTAGCAAAACTCTTTCTCAAAATAAATACTAAAGAGGTGCTGGCACGTAGATCAGTGGAAAGGTCCTGGGTTTAATCCCTAGTCCTGAAAGAAAGAAGAAAGAAAGAGGGGAAAAGTATTAAAAGTCCTTGTATTTCAGAGACACATAGGTAAATACTTATGAATGAAATGATAATGGGGAATCAAAAGAAAATAGGTTCAACAACTCTGATGAATTGTTAAATGTGGATGATCTGTACAGTGGAATTAATTATATATCACTTCAATTTTGCATAGGTTTAAATTTTTCTAAAATAAGTTGTTTTTAAAAAAGATATACATTCGAGGGGCTGTCATTCGAATGTTGTTAAAATGAACATTACCTTAGTATCAGGTTATGCTGGCCTGGTGTGACAGGCAGGATGGGAGACCCCGCAGGCATCAACTACCCAGCCATCTGAAGCTTTCACGAATGAGATGAGGAGGAAGCAAATGTCTTAGTACAGATGTTTGGGGCACTATAGGAACAAGCAGAAAGTCATCTATGGGACATTGACTACACTGAGAGACAGGAAACAAAGAGTCAGAAGGGGAGGAAGCAGTCATGTGGCACATTCACAGAGGAGGGGACAGATGTGTGCTAGAGACCTAGGGAACAGGACCAGCACCTTGCAGTGAGCACCATCTAGAGTTTACCCCAGGTCCTAGTGAGTTCAAGCACATCACTATAGACAGAGTTAGGACTCTGAGCTTAAATTTAAAGTCCTGTGAGTAAGGAAGGAGGCAGGAAGTGCTGTGGTCAGGGCTGCTTGGACTGGGGTGGCACAAGCTTCCAGCACACCAAAGGCACTGCACAATTTGCAACGCTGGGCCCTGCCTCAAATGTTCTTCTGCCCGCGCTAAGGCCCCTTCACTTACAGGCTCTCTCCCTGCTGCAGGCCTATCTCAACCAAGAGCACTGATAATTTTTCAGATTCTCAGTCATTTCTCCCACACCTCACCTCCTGTAACACCGTCTGTGGCATTTACTTGGCATTTGCTGCATGTTATTTTATTTTGTACACATGTGCACACACACACTATATACGCATGTTTGTCATCAGACAGTAAAAGCCAAGAGAGAAGAGACCGTGTCTGACGAGTTTACTTATCGCATGGAGCCCAGGACACATACCAGGGCATTTCAGGGGGAAATAGAATTCAAGGCCAGTATTCCTGGGCTTTAGTCCTGGTTCTGTATTTCATTGGAGGCCCAACCAGTTAAGTGACTAACAAGCCACTCAATGTCTCTAGGCCTCAGTTTCCCCTTCACATGCTCCTTAAGGGCACCACATTAAGTAACACACATGAAATCATTTTGTATATCATTAGTCAAATTTAGCCTAGTATTCATTCAATTCTATTGGGTCTTCCTGTTTTATCAAGTACAGCAGTCCCTCAGTGAACATGGCACTCGTTCCAGGACTCCTATAGTTACCAGACCCTGAAGGCGTTCAAATCCCTTGTATAAAATGGCACAATATTTGCCTACAGCCTGTGCGCATCCTCCTGCACACTTCAAACATTTCTCACTTCCTTATAATACTTAATTCAATGTAAATGCTATGTAAGTACTTGTTACACTGTATTATAGAAAAATGATAAGAAAAATCTGTGAATATGTTCAGTACAGACGCAATTTCTTTCTGTACATTTTCAACTTGCAGTTGCCCGAACCCCTGATGCAAATTCCATGATGGAAGGTCAACTGCATATCATACCACGCCTTCTAGCTTGAGTCTGTAGCAGCAAGATGCCCACAGAAGATCAAGAAATATTTACTCTTCTTGATAATTTTGCCAGCAGTAGTAATGCTGAGAATGATTGATAACAACTATTGATGAGAAAGACCCTATGGTCACCTAGTGCCCAGAAAACCAAATTTTTATATTTGAATGCATCTTAAGCTACGTGCTTCCTCCCTATCCTCTTTCTGAAATGTGGGGTGAGGGTCTAACGAGCCCTCCAGCCTAGCAGAGGCCCCTTTAAAGAATGAACCCGGGCTCCTCTGCCAACAAGGCTGCTAAAAATACTACTACAGCAAAAGCTGAAATATTTGCAAAGAAAATTGAATTTCCTGCTACCCTACCCCTCCCTTCTACCCAAATGGGTAAAAATCCTGACCTAAGAAACCCTCAGCCTCACTCTGCTGAAGGCACAAGCCTCCTACTTTCCACCCTTTCTCATACAGCATCCCTCTGTGGGCTTGAGCTGGGATGTTGTGTGCAGAAAGTGCCCACTCCAAAGAGGGGAAGCCACAAGTATTGGCGCACAGATTGTCACGTGCCTTGGCTTTCTTCTCTGCTTACTAGGACCAAACCTCTCCAGATGCCCCATCTGTCTCAGGAAGGATCTGTACTGGACCACAGAGCTGCACGTTAATCCATCTTTCACTCTCTCTTTTACCTAACTGTCTCCTCTTCTGCCTGCTTTAGAGCCTGCTCTCTCTACCTCTCCCTCCATGTTCCCTGCTGCCTCCTGCCCACGGCGCTGACATGCCCCAGCTCCGTGCCAACCCAGCTCTTCAGGAGCTTGTCTTCTTCACACACCTGTAGCCCTCTCCTTCTAGAGCTGTGGATTTGGCAAGTGTAGAGGTCGTGACTTTAGAAGCATCAAGAAAGACTATGGGGTGGAAGCCCCAGCTAGATAACTTTTAAAATTCCAAAACCTGTCCTGTAGCACCCAAGACCTGGCTTCGCTCTGCTGAGGCTTAGAGCCTCAGAGAGCCATTCGGTAATCCCACACTGTGCCTGTGCCTTTTCCTGGCTCAGTTGTTCAGTCACAAGCTCAGAATCCCACCCGTTCACCTGGTTCAGAGTCTAGTTACCTTGTCCAGGAGGGAACCTTTCACCAGGCTTAGCGTGTCCTCTGGCTCTCAGGCAGGGAGGGATCCAAGCTGAGTCCTTGGCTGTCACTGTGTGACAGTCCTCTCAGGTGTGTCTCTGTGAATGTGTGACCTGTGTATTTGCACCTCTGGGTCTATGTGTATGTCATCTAGCTCTGAGCGTTTGAGTTTGTGTTTTCTCCTTCCGGTCTTTGCTTTTTCTCTGTCTTTTCCTCACCTCAGTGTCTGCCCATCCCCCAGAGCAAGCACTATGGCCAGTGCTGCGTAGGCGCCTCAAGTGGGCAGTTGCTGAAATCCAAGTTGTTTCTTGGATGGAACTGGCAGTCGCTCTATCTGTTCTGCCATGAGTCCACCAATATTCAGAGACAACCTCACCCCACACAAAGGTGGCTTTCGGGAAGAAGGAAGCACTGTGCAACCTGTGTGGGAGTTCTGAGGGGTTGTTATAAAGCCCCCCCGCCACTTCCGCTCTGACCAGCAGGAAGAAGGGCCCAGAGGCAGCACAGCCTGCAGAGGGACGTTGCCTAGCAACTTGGGAGACTTTGCTGCAAACTCACCAAATCCCAAACTCCTCTGCTCTGATTTGGGAAGGGAAAAGCACAGAGTCCAGGCCTGATAGCTTCTCTGCCCCTCAGTTTCCTCATTCCCTCTCCCCTCTGGGCCCTGTAGTGGAAGTCCAGAGGAAACTGGCACAACCCAAGGCTTCAGATATGCCCATCATGTAGGCAAGGGCCTGAGCTCCCAGGACATCCTGCCATGTGGTGGAGGTGGGGAAGGAGGATGTGCCAGGGACAGATTGGGGAACAGATTTTCAGTTACAGGGGTGGGTGGGTCCCAAACATGCTGGGAAAGACACCCCTACACCCCAAGCTCTGGAATCCCAGCCAGCCTCCAGCTCAACTTTGGGGGTGGGGATAGAGCTGATGACTCTGTCCGTGTCCTGAATGGACACAGGAATTTCCCTCTCCAATATTTTCCCTTTGGCAAGGAAAGCTTCTGGCCCAAACATCTGGGTGCAAAGGAAGCATGTAACAGCCACGCTGTGACTGATCACGATGCCTATAGACACTGAGGGCTCTGACCACCCAGAATTTCCTGTCCTCTCCCTCTCCCCTGGCACCTTAGCTAGGCCCGACTTTGTAGTTTTTCTCAGAGATGGTCCGCACTAGCTACACAATGCCAGGCTGCCAGCTCCAGCACCATGGCAAGCTGGGGGAGGTCCGCACCCACAAAAGTAGTGAGCTAGCCCTCCACACTCTTCTCCTCCATCTCTCCTGCCCAGCCTCTCCCAAAGCCCACGTCCTTCCTCATCATGGACCCAAAGAGCCAATCCCTCCTGATAACTCCCCAACACAACTTGATTGCCCAGGCTATTCTTCTTCCAAAGATTGGGGAGTCAGGGTGACTAAATTTCGCCTTATTTTGAAGCTGTGGATCAAAGGCGAGGGAGGGTCTGGTAGGAGTAGTGGAAAGGAAGTGAGGTGTGTCTCCTAAACAGGTGCCGGTGTATGAGTACCCACAGAATGGGTGATGTACACGGATGATAGTAGGGTAGCGATAGATAACTGCAGACATGCTTGCTGTATAATTGTAGAGTGATCTCGTGTGTGTGTGTGTGTGTGTGTGTGTGTGTGTGTGTGTGTACAGAACGTCTGCATTTCCCGGCATCTGTCCAGGTTTGTGTACGACGTCTGCGGAGTTGTTTTCTGCAGGCTGTGTACAGTGGAGGAAAGGCATTTACAGCCAGCCCCAGGCAGAACATATGTGGACACGCAGAGCCTGGGAGCTGTGGTGTGATCCGTGCCCACCATCAGCTTGTGTACCAACAGCTTTCTCCATTCCACCGCAGGAATGATCGTCAGACTGGTTTTTTTTCGCCGAACGTCTTTGGGAGCCTTTCTTCGCGGTCTGAGGAGGAGGGGAGTCGGAGCCATATTTGGGGCGCTAGCTAGATTGTGGAAGTGTAGGGAGGCGGGTGGGAGTGCGTAGTTTTCTCTGGGCGGCGAGCAGGGCGTGCCGTGCCCAGATGTGAGCGTGTTTGCGCCCTGGGTGTCGGGGGGCCTCTAGTGCACCCGCACGCATCTGCCTGGCTGTCTGCCGCCTCGCAAGCAGCAGCCCGGGCCGTGGGCGGCTGCGCTGCGTGGGAAGAAGGGCTGGAAGCGCGTGGGCGGAGGGCTTGGGGCAGGAGGGGGAGCCAGGCGGAGGGAGTGGGGCGGCCTCCCCCCAGATCGCCCCGCCCACCCTGCCCAAGTCGCCTTCTGATTGGCTTCCCGGCCGCAGGGCTCAGGTTACATTCGCTTGCAGAGCTGAGCGCGGGAGACAGGACCGAGCAGAGAGCCGCTGGTTCTACGCGGGTCGGCGGGCGCCCCACGTCCCGGAGCCGCCACCCAGCATCACACAGACCCCACCCCCGCCTGGCCAGGCTCCACCCCAGCCCAGGACCCTCATCACTAGCATGGACTGCTGTACCGTAAGTTACAGGGCCTGGGGACAGCTCCTCGGCTCGGTCTGCAACGAGGGGTGCCTGCGAAGCCTCTAAGCGAGTGAGGGATGGAAGCGGGTGCGGAGGACCTGGGGGTCGCCAGGGGTCCCGCGGAGACCTGGGTCATGGTGGTGGGAGGCACCCACCCGACTTGAAAACCCTAAGAAAAATGCTGCCCGGGCCGCGGGGGCGTCTGCGCGCTCTTGCCCGGCTGTCTGGGGTGAACCTGGAGCTGGGCCGGGCTTGCCAGCAGGGACGCTGCAGGTTAGAGTGAGGAGGCGCGAGCCCCAGTGGGACCCTGGAAACCGTCGCCTCAGGGCACTGCAGCGCTCCTCTCCCCGGGCGGCCTGCCCCCTCCCCATTTCCCATCCCGCCGCCGCCGTCGAGGGGCACACAGGCCGATCTCCACGACCCTCTGACGATCGCCTACGCCTGGTGCAGCGTGGGCTGGAGCGATCGATTCATTTTGATCTTGGTGGTGTTGACAGGCAGCAAGGAGCCTAGACGGTGCGGTTCAGGGAAAGGGTTGGCCCGGCCCCCAACGCCTCCTGGCTCAGGCGAGGGCTGGGTAAAGTGACCGCGAGAGAGCCCTGCTGGCCAGAGAAGGAAGTGTCTGCAGCTTGTCAGCGCCCACACGCAGCCCAATGCTGCCAGTGCCTGACCAGTCTACATAGATTGCTACTAAGATGACTCGGTAAAAGAGCGCCTAGCGCAGGACTCGCCCTGGCTCGCAGGGATCATGCATATATAGTTTGTTAATTTCTAGGCCCCACGTACAAAGAAAGACTGTCCTTGTGTTTTCTCAATCATTCAGTCAACGCAGCTAAAGATACCAGAGCTTATGAGTTTTACCACCCCCATCCATCCTATGGTGTGCAAAAGACAAAAACAGTGTGGTTTGGAAGGAAAGGGTGGCCGGGTTCTCTAAAACGTGAGCTTTCGTCATGTCTGGTACCAAGAGGCAGAGAGAATTTAGGAACCAGTCGCTGTTGCTGTGATTTTCATTCTTACCGGTATCCGCAGTAGCTGCCAATTTGCGAATGCTCACCGTGAACGAAGTTTTTATCACAACAGCTTTCCAAAGTGGATATTATTTTACCGATCTGCAAACTCAGGTTTGGAGAAATCAAATGGTTCTTCCCCAGAGCCACTACTCCTAAGTGTGGAGGCAGGATTCAAGGATGGGCCCGTGGGATTCAAACAGATGTACTTTAACCTCTTCTCTTAGGGTATAGCTTAGCTGCACAATCGCCTCTTGGCAAGAGTAAGATCCTGAGTTAGATTTTGGGTACCAAAAATAAATAAATAAATAAAGTTTTCCTCATTATAAAATATACTCACAATAATGAATATAAAGGTTAAAGAAAGCATTAAAAATCAATCACATATAATCCTATTCCCTGGAAAATACTCTGATCACATATTTATTCTGTCTTTTTCCCTTTGCTTGTTATATTCCAGCAAGCAATTTTCTTTTACTTTTCTTTCTTTCTTCTTCTTCTTCTTTTTTTTTTTTTTTTTTTTTTTTGTTGTTGTTGTTGTTGTTGTTGTTGTTATTTTGAGACAGGGTCTGTCTGGCCTTGAGCTCACTATGTGACCCAGGCTGCCCTCAAACTTGCAGTGATCCTCCTGCCTCTGCCTCCCATGTGCTGGAATTACAAGCGTGTGCCACTCCGGCCAGCCTAAGGAAACAATTTTCTAAATTTATTTTTATTTATTTATGCTGGGGAGTTAATCCAGGACCTAGTGCACACAAGCTCTGTGCTCTCCCAGTGAACTGAGTCCCAGGAAACTGTTTTTGGTTATGAAAGGAGAAATGGGGATTTCTGGTCTTCACTAAGGAAGAGCCCCCCCCACCCACACACACACAGTGTTTTTTTTTTAAGAAAATGGATAGTGGATTCTGAGTTGTGGGTTGGGTGAGCGTGATAATGCTGAGCAGGAAGGATTAAGGTGCGAAGATAAGAAAGATGGGCAAGAGGAAGCAGGAGACATGGTCACTGGAAAATCCAAGAAGCCAAAGAAGGAATGTAACCCGTCTCCTCTGGTGTCTGCAGTACTGAAGGTATGATGTGGGTGGGAGCCCTGTCTGCCAGCCCTGGTCTGCCCCAGAGGGTGTTGAGAGTGGCCAGAAAGACATTGGTGCAGATCAGATAGATAGATAACTAGGTAACAGATGTTGGGTGCTGACAGCTGACAGCTGAGGAGCTTGTAGAGATGGCCGGATCCCATGTCTCTTAAAAAGAAGAGACCATTCATCCAAGCAGTATGGAGGAGGCAATTACACAATTATCCCGTGGCCCAGTGTGGTGGGCTTCTTCTCCAATGCACCAGGTACACAAGAGCTTGCATTTTCCTTGATCTATCTTGTCTGCAGGCCCAAAGGATTCAGCAAGAGAGAGCACTGTTTTCAGACTGTGCAGGGGGGCAGAGAGAGAGAGAAAGGGTGATAAGGGCAAGGATGGGGCTGCTTAGGAGCTGGGACACAGAGCAGTGCGCTGTTCCTCTTTCATTCTGGGGTCTTGGGTGACCACCTGGTGTTTGGGGAAAATCTAGTCCAGCGTTACTCCTTCCTTTCCCCTTGGTAAGGAAGCTTAGAAATGATGAAGAAAACAGATCTGCTTTTTCTCTGCTGTTTTGTTTAGTGGTGGTGGTGTTTTTTGCTTTTTTTTTTTGCAGGTCAGAGATCAAACCCAGAGCTTATGTACACCAGGGAGGCACTCTACCACTGAGCTACAACCCCAGGCCACGGTGGTTTTTTAAGAGCTGTTGATTCAAACATCCTAGTTGTTGTTTTACATGGCCACAATGTGATTTTGCAACATTCACTTAATATGAAAAGGCCAAGAAGCTTTTTTTAAATCCTCTTTTTTTTTGCTTGGTCTAGTGGCCTTTGGTTTAGCTGAAGGCATAGAAATAATTGCCTGCCCTGAGGCAGTCTGTTCGACCTTACCCTGTTTTCTGACTTCTAAAATGGAGTTTAAATAAGGTACAGTGTCTAAAGTACTTAATGAAAAGCCTAATACATAATGGGCAGCAAGCACCCTTAATTTTTAAAGCTATTAGGATTTGTGAGCTAAAGGAGACTTTATTCATCGAGGGACAAGAGTCATGGCGCCCACTTTCCAGACCATTGTGTTTCCCACGACCCCTCTCTTTCCTGGTGTCCTCAGGTTCATGCAGAGCTCTCAGAAACAACCATCTGTCTGGGCTTCGGAAGGCACCAGCCAGGCACCGAGACTAAGGAGCCCCTTTCTGGACTCCTTTCATTCTCCTGATCAGCATGTGGACCCCACTGCCCAGCAGCTCTGCCCTCGGAGTCCAGCTGGTGGGAGAGGCAGCTGATTGTGGGGTGGGATAAGGCACCAGGAGTGTCTGCCTGCTGTTCCAGTTTTTGTTCTGGATACAGCTAGGGTGGGTGATGACCTTAGCACAGTTGGGATATGACCCCCCCTCTTCACCTCAACCCCTGCCACCCCTCCACAACTGTAAGCCCAAGGAGAGGTGAGGCGGACATGATTTTTTACGGTTGTTACTCTCTTTTGAGAAGCTTCACTGTTCCCTGAAACTATCTCAAAAAAGACTGGGCTCTGAGAATCAAAGAACACAAGGAGGACCAGGGATATAGTTCAGCAATACAGCACCTGCCTGGCAAGCACACGGTACTGAGTTTGATTCCCAGTACCAAAAAGAAAAAAAGAACACAAAGGAGTTGGCTTGGGTTTTAGGTGAAGAACAAGATGTCAGGGAGACCTCTAGACCTGGGAAGAGCAAAAGGGGAGTTTGGGTCCATTCCAGCTCACAGCAGCCTCTGGGTAAGGCTTTGTTTGTAACTATGTTGAAATTGATTGTGGACATCATGAGAACAGACCGAAAGCTGTGAAGCCCAGGAAAGGGGGACGGCCTGAGGAAGCATGGTGACAGGAGGATTTGTAAACCTGTGCTTCTGGGCCAGATCCAATGGGAAGAGGATCACCAGCAGCTCACTCAGATCATGTCTAGTTCTGACCAGACAGCTGATGGCCAGGAGAAGGCAAGAGAACTGAATCTCGGGGCCTTAATCATCTTACATTGAGAAGAAGACAGTAAAAGCACTGGACATTCTTAGGCAAGAAATGAGGGCAGCCAGGTGTGGGGGCTCAAGTCTGTAATCCCAGCTACCTGAGAGGCTGAGATAGGATCAAACGGTAGAGGCCAGCGTGGGCCATTCATTTGGAGACTCGATCTCCAAATAAAAAGTATAAAAAGAAGCCAGAGGTGATGGCACACACCTGTAACCCCAGCACCTGGAAGGCTGAGGCAGGAAAATTGCGGTGAGTTCAAGGCCAGCCTCTACTACATAATGAGTTCAAGGCCAGGGCCAGCCTGGACTAGATAGGAAGGCCCTGTTTCAAGTAAAACAAAAACAACAACAAAAAAAAACACAAGACAAACAAAAAAAATAGTTGGAGATGTGGCTCAGCGGGAAGGTCTTAGGTTCATCCTTAGGGCTAGGGAAGGAAGGGACGGAGGGAGGAAGAAGGAAGAAAAGGAAGGAAATTCCTACAGGCCAAAGGCCCAAGACTAAAGGAGCAACGCTTCCTAATAACGATCCTCATCCCAGGTCACACTGATACTGTGTGTCAAGATACCAACAGGGTTAGGGCCTCTGAAATCAGCACCATCAATTTCCTAACCCGTGCATTCAACTCTGTGTTGGGGCAGACGTACAGACAGGTCTGAGTACAGTCACACTTCCTTAATGATGAGGATACATTCTAAGAAATGTGTCCTTAAGGTTGGTGTGATAATACGTATCTCTAATCCCAGTACTCAAGAGGCTGAGGCAGGAGAATAGCTGCAAGTTCACTATGCAAGATCAGCCTGGACTACACAGCAAGACTCTGTCTCTAAGCCAGGTGTGGCGGTACATACCTATAACCCCAGCATTTGGGAGGCTGAGGCAGGAAGATTACAATGAGTTCAAGGCCATCCTGTGCTAGACAAGTTGAAGACCAGTCTGCACAACATAGTAAGACCTGTCTCAAAAATAAAAGACTGTCTCCGAAAACACAAGGATCACTGAGAACGTAACAGCAGTTACACAAACCATGACAACTCTAGGTGATCTAATCTTACGGGACCATCATTCTATGTCCTGTCATTGACCAAAATGTCATGGCTAGGGATTTAGTGCAGCAGCACAAGCGCCTGCCTTGCAAGCAGGCAGTTGTGAGTTTGATCCCTGGTACCGATAAAAAGGAAAAAAACAAAAAAAAAATTTAAAAAATATCATTATCTGGTACATGACTATTATTGGGTGGAACTGTGAAATGTGGATACGGTGGGCCCACAGAGACAACTATTTTGATCAATTTAATATTATTATATAAAACAATCATTTAATACCATTTATTGAGCAACTTGATTGTGCCACAAACTTTGTGCATATGACGCTAATTCTTCCCCACAATCCACAGAGGTGGATATTATTATCCTGACTTTTTAGATGAAGGAGCTAAGGCAGGAAAGCATTAAATAACTTACCCAACCCTTGCACAGAGTTATAGCAAGGAGTAGAGTATTTCTGGGCTGCATTTGCTTATTCTACTAAGTAAGGGTTAATACACTCTGAGCTCTGATATGCAACAGTTTGAATCCTAGTTCACTGATACTTATCAGTACAACCCCCATAGGTTTTTTATGCATTTCAGTCATGGGTTTTAGCATGGTAAACTAGGGTAACATCAAAAGGGTACGTCATCACTTTATTGTTGGGAATAAATAAAATAATGTCTGTGAGACCCATTGCATCAGGAACAAAGTAACTGCTTCGTAGCTGTTTTCCTAATTCCTTTCTTTCCATGAGCACAACAGGAAAGGTTTCTTCCTCCTGCTGACCATTTCCTTGTCTTTATTTTTTTTTGAAGTGATGCATTTTCTCTGTCGGTTTCTTCCAGACTGTCTCCTCCCTTCTGTTTTTGGTTCAACCTGGGAAACAATAGAAGTAGAGGGTAAATGACAAAAGGGTCTCTGAACCGCTGTCCTGTAGTGGGGTTGACTGGCTCCCAGAACGGAGGCCCCATTCTCTCCCTAATTGCAGTGATGAGTCCCAAGGAGAGACCAAGGGAACCCTGGAATGGGGAGGGGCCCTCCTGAGCTAGAGCCACCCTCTGCAGGCAGGGGGATGGGCAGCTGCACCCAGAGTACCTGCTGCTGTTTCTTGGCTCCCCCAATCCGGCCCTCAGCTCAGCCCTGCAGCCTGCCCACTGGTAAAGGTTACACCAGAACTGTTGGGTATCTTGTATCCCATCTCACCTTGCCCTTCTCGTTCTTGTGTTGGGTACATAATTGCATTCAGCTGGCCCTGACCCTTCCTCTTTACTTGCTGCTGCCCAGGAAAACACACACACACACACACACACACACACACACACACACACACACACACAGAGCTCCCTCACTTCCCATCCACTTTGTCCCCTCTCAGCGGCCCCAGGGCTCTAGTTTAACCTAACCCCTCGGAGTCTCCGCCCAGTCACCCCACAAGAACCTCCCTGCCCCGTCCCCAGGAGAGCGCCTGCTCCAAACCGGACGACGACATCCTAGACATCCCGCTGGACGACCCTGGTGCCAATGCTGCCGCTGCCAAAATCCAGGCGAGTTTCCGGGGCCACATGGCGCGGAAGAAGATAAAGAGTGGAGAGCGCGGCCGGAAGGGCCCGGGCCCCGGGGGGCCAGGCGGAGCTGGGGGCGCCCGGGGAGGCGCGGGCGGCGGTCCCAGCGGAGACTAGGCCAGGTGAGGCCGGTGGGCTGGGTGGGCCCTGGCTCTCAGCTGTCCTCTAAGGGATGGAGACCCCAAGGACGAGCTGAGTGTGCAGAAGTGGACCTAAGGGTGGGGGGCCAGGACCAAGGCTGGTGGGCGGAGGGAGATTCAGGTCCCAAGAGCTCACCTGCTTTTCTCTCTCTGCCTCCCTGTCTGCCCGCCCCGGACCGAAGAACTGAATTATTTTCGAAGGTAAGGGATCCGATCCGACGCGGCGGGGGTGGTGAGGTGCTAGGAGGGCGAAGGGGACCGGGTCCCCAGCCCTTACCCCCGCGGGCATCCAGAGGCTGGGGACGCACTGGGCCAGCCCGGACGGCGACCGCCCGCGGGCCGTGCGCACCGTGGCGCACTCATGGACCTGCCAGGGGCTCGCCTTGGCCCAGCGATGCTTTGACCCGGTTGGGTGACTGCAGCCCCAGCCTCTCCTGGTCCCTACTCTGTTCAGAAAGGGAGGCGGCAGGGCAGATGACCTGGGCAGGTCGGGCTCTCAGACCTTCTCTCTCCTCAGTTCCCAAGGACAGATGGATGCCGCGTCCCCTTCGCAGTGATGAGAATTTCCTACCGTGTTGTGACCCCCTCTTTGCCACCAACCTGCCAGCTTCAGGAGCCCCTGCGTCCCAGAGACTCCCTCTCCCAGGCAGGCTTCGTCGCGGAGCTGCCAAGTCCGTGCCCTACTAGTTAGCGCTCCGGTCTAACGTGGTCCCCCTGCTGTTCTCTCCCCACCCTCTCCGCAGACCCCGGGCCCCCAAATTCCCCGCCTTGTGCTTCCCGCCCACCTCTCCCAGCACCCAGCATGCAGCTCTGCCTCCGCAGCGCCGGGGCGCTGTCCTGCGCACCTGCGGAGGGCGCCCCAGCCTCGCCGAACACACACACACTTGAAAAGGAAAAAAAGTCCTTTCGTTCTGCGCGCAACGAAAGGGGGCGCCCCGCGTCTCTGTGCAGCTCCCGCCCTGTCTGGCCCCAGAACTTTAGGTCTGGAGCAACCAAAGAGGGTTTTGATGACGTCAGATGCCCCTTGCTCTGATCAGAAGGAAAGGCCCTGTCCTACACCTACCTGCCTGTCATGTCCCCTTCCTGACCCGCAGCGCACCCCGAGAGTAGCCTCGGCAGCTCTCAGGCTGTTTATGCAAAGCCGAGCGCCTGGAGACTCGGTAGGAGGAGTCTTTCACGGCCCAGCCTTGTCCCCCCGCAGGCCCAGCCCCGTCGGGCTCCTGGGGCTGTGGCCGGAAGGTTTTTAATCTCTGCGTGTGCATGTGACTGTGCTGGGTTGGAATGTGAACAATAAAGAGGAATGTCCAACTGTTCTCAAGGTGCGGGGGTGGGGAGCACCGTCTGGAGCTTCAACAAGTCTTCGATAAAACTGCAAAGCCTGGGGGAGAGACTGGTAGGTGGAGCGGCACCTAGGTTCAGATCTGTCCCTTGACCCAAGAAGCCTTCCGGGGTAGGCGTCGCCTCTGAGGCTTCACACACACCCCTTCCCTAAACAGGTGGCTTCTAGAGTTCCAGGAAGGACTGACTGTATTGGCAAAAGAAGACAACACAAAATTGTACCCCAAAGGTTTTAATCATTGCTATACACCCCCCACCCCGCGCATCCACTAAAGGGAAGGGGTTGAGAAGTCAGTTAATCACAGGGAGCTTGGACTTGGTGGTCGTCGTCGTGCTGGCAGATGGGGACCTCTCCATAAGGCCTTTTCTAGAATCTGCCTCTGGAGAGGCCTGCGCGGAAACCCCAGGAGCAGTAGCATCCTCCCTGTTGGAGACAGACAACACTTTTACTGCGGACAAACCCAGCCTTCAGGGGATGGCTATGGTCCAACCCAGTTTAAATTTTTCTGGTGCACGAAAATCATCTGTGGAATTTATTAAAATAAAGATTCCAGAAGCCAGGTGTGATAGCACACTCCTGTAATCCAGCATTTTGGAGGCTGAGGCAGGAGGATCATTGGGAGTTTTAGATCAGCCTGGGCTACAAAATGAGCCCAAGGCCAGCCTGCACTGCATAGTGAGACCCTGTCTCAAAAAGACTAAATAAAGATTCCAGGCCCCATATCACACACACCAAACACACGATTTTTTTTTTTTTTTTTTTTTAAATCCTAAAATGCTGCTCTGGGGGCTAGGGACATAGCTCAGCGGCATAAGCACCTGCCTAACAAGCGCAAAGTCGTGAGTTAAATTCCCCGTACCCAAGGGGGGGAAAGTCTAAGATAAAATGTTGTTCTGATCCCTGTTCAGCACCCCAAGTCTTGCTGCTTCAACACATAACAGAAGCATCTTTGGCCTCCTTTCCTGATGGCTCCACACAACACTCAAATTCAACTGAGTGGTCAGAACAAATACAATTCCTCCAACTCCTTCCAAAGGGAAACCATACTATGAAAACACCTAAAAGATTGAGAAAGTAGCTTGGCATGGTAGTGCATTCCTGGAATCTAAGTCCTTGGAAGCTGAGACAAAGGGATAGGGTGCAAATCTGAGGCAAGCCTGGACTCCATATCAAGACTCTGTCTCAAAAAATAATTAAAAAGTTGAGAAAGTAAATATTTTAAGTATGAGGCGGGTCAGTGTAGTCCTACAAGCTGAGCTACCCCTGTCCCAGGCCCCCTATTCTGTGCAGCTTACACATTCAATAGGTTATGCTGCCCCTGCCACCACCAAAAGCTACACAGTGCTCCTTACCCCTACCAGGGAGAGGCTGACAGCATCTACTCTGAACCCAAGCCTCCGCCTCCCTCTAGCCCTCCTGCTCACCGAAGGTCGCTGCCCCCATAGGTCTCCTTGGGCGTCTTCTTCCTGTCTTTCTGGAACCTGATCAGGCAGAACACAGTGACTGACAGCAGCAACACACCCAGAAGCACCCCAATCAGCGTCCCGGCCACTCGGCCCTCAGAGGAACCTAAGGATACACAGGACTTTTAGAGCGGGCCCACCCCCAAACAATGTCACACAGCCTCCCCAAGCCCAGACCTCCAGCCTGGCCTCTGCCCAACATCCCCTACCTGTCACAGAGAGGGTCAGCTCACAGGATGCTGTGCCCATTTGGTTGGTGGCCACACATTGGTAGGTGCCCGAGGAGGTCAGGGAGAGATTGGTGAGAATGAGCTGCCCAGACACTTCATCTAGAGGACAAAGAGGACGTGTGCCACGGTGCACTCAGCACACAGTGAGCGCGTAGTTCATCCTTGAAGCAGTCCTGCCAGAGGAGGCCTCACCTCAGTTGATTGGTGGGAAACCTGGCTCAGAGAAAGCAACTTACCCACGATGATCCAGAGAGTAATTCCACAGCCACTGCCACGTCTGTTTTCTTTCTGCTCCGCGTCACTGCCTTTTTAGGATTTGGGGAACCCCACACACGAAGGCCATAGAATTGGGGTAGTATGCTTACTAGCTGGGGTGAGATTCCTTATTGGGGGTTAAAAACTTTATTGCTAAAAAACTCCTCTGGAGTGATCCTGAGCCAACTCAGGTGTTTCTACAGACTCTGACATTTGCTTGAGAGGGCAGAGCACGTATCAGGAAGTAATCCAAGGAGAAGGGTCTGGATTGATGCAAGGATTTCCTGGCCTAGGGCAACAGGGAGAGCCTGGGAACTGGACCCAGCAAAAAGAAACTAAGACGCTAAGGCTCCTAGGAAATGACTCCTCCAGAGAAACCGGCAAGATGACTCAACCCAGTCTATGGTTCTCTGCCTCAGTTTCTTCTTCAGGAAGTCTGGAAGTGATTCATAAATCTTAAGAAATTAAAAGGAATTCTCCAAAAGTAAGCAAGTACGAATCATAAGAATGTCCCCTGCTCTCTGTGATCTTTCAGGATATCAGGCATTACTTCAGAAATGTTCCCAGGGACTGGGCGTGGTGGTACATGTCTGTAATCTCAGCACTTGGGAGGCTGAGGCAGGAGGATTGCTGCAAGCTCAAGGCCAGCTAGACTACTGTACATACTGAGTTCAAGCCCAGTCTGAACTGCATAGCAAGATTTTGTCTCCAAAAGCAAAATGAAATTCTCTCAGGAACCCAGCCACAGACTGTACAGGAAGGCAAAAAGAGAACAATACAAAGAAGAAACGGGGAAAGCAGAGTGGCTTTTCTCACACTGCTGGTCACGGAACTTGAAATGTCAGTGTATATGGGCCACAGACTAGATTTGCCTAGGTCTCTTGGCCCCTCTTTATGATGCCTGGAGTCCTTACCTTGAACCATGCTGCCGGGAGGAGGCGTAGGGAAGGATCCCAGGCGAGCCCAGCTGTACACTGGCTTGGGAGCTCCTTGGGAAGAGCTGCACCTCAGTGCCACAGAGCCTCCCACCGACGTCGTCCCACTCTGACTGCAGGAGGGCCGACTGGGGGGCACTGAAAAACCCACAGAACTGTCTCAGGAATCCTCTGCCCTTGTATCCACTGAGCCCTTCAGTTTCCTGCTCAGACACCACTGCTAAACAGTGGTCCACCTCCCCAGGAAGTTATTTCCACTATTGGAAATTCTGATTGTTAGAAAACTCTTCCTCATATTGAGCCAAAATTGTGTTAATATGGTATCCACCCATCAGCTCTAGTTCCTGTGCTCTGAGCCCACAACAACAAATTAAAACCTCTGCTCCATATGACAAAGCCCTTTAGATATTTGCACATAGCGCACCACATGCCAAGTCTTGTTTTTTCTTCTTCTGATTGCCTACTTATGACCAGGCTCTGATTTAGGGTGAGATGTTGCTCAGTGATGGGGGCTTAGTTCCTTTGATGGCCACCTCCCTTCTCTGCCACTGAGGTTGGGAGTGACCGGAACCAAACTCAGCTACCAAAGGGAATTTCCTCCCTACTGCAGCTGGCGGGGCTGTGGCTCCATCCTCATATATGAGAAGGCTTCCTCTCTCAGGACCTAAAGGAAGAGGCATTCTGTAGAGCTGGAGTGTGATGGAGTGTGACCATCTGGATTAGAAGTCTTGGGAAGTGGCTTTTTTTTTTCTTTTTTTTTTTTTTTTTTTTTTGGTACCAGAGATTGAACTCACAGCCTTGCACTTGCCAGGCAGGCACTTATGCTGCTGAGCTAAATCCCTGGCCCCTGGCTATTTTTTTGTGAGGTCCCCAGTGCACTTGTACGCTTGGGTAGAGACCAAGACATGGAGATATTTAGCACGGCCAGAGCACACTTTCAGGCTAGTGGGTCCCCAGCCTGCCTTACCCAGAACAGTAAGGTTGATTAGTCCCAGACCATTAGTGTAGAAATCTGGCGGGTTGTTGACATTACAGAGATAGGTTCCAGTATCCGATGGGCGGACATCTACCAGTTTCAGGGTAGCCACCCCTCCTGTGGGTGGATTTTGGAGCAGGCTGGCCCGCTCTCCCTGAGAGCCAGTGGGATACAAGTGGCCATTGGTGAAGTACAGGATCTGAGAAAAGGCAGAAGACAGGCCTATGTCCCCCTTTCTGCTGGACATCAACTCTGCAGTCCTTCTGCTTGGAAGTACAAATGGGTCTGCTCACTTAGCCAGCTAGGACAGTTGACACCCTCTATCCTGAACCGTGAAGGAATAGCACAGTGCCACATTAAATGTGTTTAGTAACTGACACGGAAGCTTGAACATAAGGGAGGTGAGTGTAGGAATTATGGGAGAGGAAAGGATGATACAGGGCCACAGAGACCACAGCCCTGAGAAGACCTAGGAAGAGCCACTTGTTTCCTCCCAGCTGATCCCCAGATGCCACCCTACTCCCACCCAACTCACCCTGATCGAGCCCTCTATTCCTGGCCAACCCTCCCCCTGCACACAGTTACGCTCACGGGATGCGACGCAGAGATGGGCTTCCCGGGCTGCACAAAGCTCCACTCCAGGGCGAAGTTGCTTCCCACAGACGTGCTATAGCTGCAGACCAGCTCGGCAGTCTTGCCCACAGGCGTGCTCAGTGGCTCGGTGGGCACCTTCACTTCCACGGCCAGCCCCAGGGCTGAGGATGAAGAGGGAGGTCCGGGCTCCAATCCGGGTGAGCTGGAAGCTCTGACCCTCACCCCAGCATGTAGACCAGAGGCTGAGAGCTCTCTCCCCACAGCACTGCCTCTTCCCCTCCATCTAATAACTCCATCTCCAAGCCTGAGGTTTCGGGAAGGAGGGAGGGCCCCCCAGCCCAGCTGAGATTTGGTGGGTAAAAGGGCCCAAACCGGGCCAGGTATGAGGATGCATTGGCAAGAAAAGGAAACAACACTCCTGTTTGGACAGAGAGGCCCAACTTGCCCAGCCCAATTGTCTGCCTCCCTCCTCTGCCCTCACAGCCTCCAAGGCCCCTTCTCACCCACATCCTTTTCTAGCTTTTCACAGCCACCACCTGGGGCCCTGCTCCTCAAGGGAGCTCCAGCCCACTGGGGGGAACTGAGCAAACGCTGAGGACTCAGGGAAAGAGGTCTCCCCCTCCAGCTCTGACACAGGCCACGCAGCCTCTGCTTACCATTCAGGCACAGGAAACCCAGCAGGGTCCTGCAGAAGAAAGGCCCAAGGAGCCACGCCATGGCCACCTAGCTCAGCGTGGTGTTGGCCTGTGTGGGTATCTGAGTCTGAGAAAGCCAAGGGAGTGCCCCAAGGGCAGCCTCCAGTGTGCTGGGCAGGAGTGAGCCTGGCTATCTCAGAGCAAACAAGGGGAGAGGCCAGCACTCTCAGGTAAGCAAATGCTCCTCCCTCCTCCAGGTCCACCGGAGTCACTCTGACCTGGCTTCCTTCTCACTTCCTCCTTTTTCCAGTGTCTAAAACTGTCAGGCCCTGGGGAAAAGCTGGTCTTGGGGTGAGCACACTGAAGGCAAAGACCCAGAACTGGAGCTCCACAAGGAAAGTGTCTTTGGAGAAAAATTCTGATACCAAGGGAAACGACTCCATCATCTTTTCTCAGGGTGAAGGTACTTTCTGGCACTTTCAGAAATCCGCTCCTTTCCAAGCCTCTTACCTTCTGAGATAGAAGTCTCCATGGAGACTACACCACTCCCTATCCCCAGAGGTAGCCCACTTGATGGGCAGAGAATCTTGAGACCTAGAGACCTCTCAGCCTCGGCAAGAAAGGGTATGGTGGTATTCAGTCATAAACCTACGCACATCCTCTGCCCATCCCGCCCTGGGGTACCAAGAGGGAATGCAGTATAGCTGCCCAGGGGTGGGGGGGTGTTTGTCTCCTCTCACCTGCCCTGGAGACAAGAGGAGATGAAGTTCCTTAACACCCCGCAGGAAGCACTAAAGCTCCAGCAGCAAGTGAGCAGCCAGTTTCCTGCCCCTCCTCTGCAGACTGTTATGGCCTGGCCTAGCCTCAGGCCCTGAGCACTGAGGCAGAGCCCCCATGGGTTCACTTGATATCTTCCTGAAGCTCAACCTCTAGGAATCCTCAACTAGAAAGGGGTATTTGATTCTTATTCCATACAAACACAATGTATTTTTATTGAAATGTGCAAAATAAAAACAAATACACATTTGGAGTTAGTTTTAAAAATGTCTTTCCTATCCTCTGCCCCAACCCCCCAACCAGCCCGGCAGGATGTTAATGCAAGGAGCTGGAGTGGCAGTGAGGGTTAGATAGGGGTGGGGTGCAGATCCTAGAAGGCTGAGGTGCTCATTGACTGACAGTCTTCTCCAGGGCCCTTGGAGGTCAGCCAATCTCAGCAGGATTCAGCTGGCTTCATAAGGAGGAATGGAGACCCCAACCCAAACCAGGTTCGATTCCTCTTCTCCTGTGACCTTCTGGACATCTGGGGCTTACTGAGAGGCGAGGTGAGAAGGTGGGAGGAGTGTGGTGACCCTCCCAGGGTGCAGTCTGTGCTCTAGGTAGATGAGACACCAGATGCCCGGGGCCTGAGCCATCACACCAGGTACCCATCCTGAGTCTGAGAAGGTAACATCACATTCACTGCACCCATGCGCCTCAGAGCAGAGTGAGAAAGCCCCCCGGGGCTGAGGGACACTGGCTGAGGGTTAGTCCCATTTGTCTCGGGTAGTCTGGGTGAGGGCAGAGCCTGAGTGGAGGTGCCAGGCACAGGGGTCAGTGTGCCAGGCTTAGGAGGGGCATGAGACAGCCGGAGGGCTCGTGCTGAGGTGACGGAGGAAAGAGTTCCATTCTTGGAGAGCGTGTCTGAGGCCTTGGACCAGGTCAGGGTCCGTGGGGCAGTGGCGTCTTCCCTAGTCATCAGAGAAGTAACAAGGGGTCAGAAGAAGGGAAAAGAAGGGGAGAGTTTCCTCATACTTGGTTACACTCTGCCTCCATTACACACTTCAACGTTTCTCTTCCTCTCCCTTAAAATCTGCCCCGAGAGCCAGCCATGGTGGTACAAGCTTGTAATTCTAGCACCCAGGAGGCTGAGGTAGGAGTACCATTGCAAATTCCAGGCTAGCCTGGGACACAAGGCGAGTTCAAGGACAGCCTGAACTATATAGTGAAACCCTGACTCAAAAAGACCAAAAAAAAAAAAAAAAAAAAAATCTGCCCATCAAAAAGTTACTCTGTCCTGAGATCCACGCCATGTTGGAACTTAGGGCGCTGGGAAACCAAGCAACCAGCTCACCTCCCTGGTAAGTAGCTGTGGCACAGGCAAGCTGCAGCCACCCCAGGGGGCTGTGATCAGAGGGGTAGGGGCACCCAAAAAGTCCTGTGATCAGAGGGGTAGGGGCACCCAACGTCTCCTGATCCGTGCCATGTTGGAACTTAGGCTGCTAGGAAACCAAGCAACCAGCTTGCCTTCCTGGTATACAGCCTTGAGTCTACTGGTACACGGGCCGAAAATCAAACATCCCATCCTGCTCCCTGTTAGCAAATGGGAGCCAGAGATCTGAGCAGCTATTGGGAGGCTGACGATATACAAATAGCAAATAAGGGGTATCTCCTTCTACCTTCTCTTTGAAGGTAAATATTGTTATCACTGTTGTGCTTTGTTCTGATTAATTGTATTGCTATATTCAATATTGTTTTGATACGTTCTATAATGTTCTGTATTCCATTTGATTTTGCTATACCTGATTGAAAGAACAACTATTGTGAAGATAACGTGATGTACTATGGTACCTATTACTGTTATCCTAGTAACCTGCTGGGAAGTTCTGTACCAATTTCACTGCACTGTCTCAATTTGCTTTGCTCCATCTTGTTCTGTTGTACTTTACTACCTTCAAAATAATAAAAAATTAAAAGAAAAAGAAAAAAAGCTATTCTGTTTACTGTCCACCCTTCCATTAGACAGAAGCTGCCCACATTCCCAGAATCTGTGATGGGAGTTGGGATCCCTCATCTCAGCAGAAAGCAGGAGCACTCACTTGATATCATTGGATACATCCTCTAGGAGCTTGCTTTGGTGTTGGCGCTCGTACAAGAGGATCAGGCCGACCAGCAGCACCAATCCGACCAGAGTGCCCACAACTGCTCCGGCAATCATGGCAGCTCTTGACCCTAAAAAAAGTCCTGTGATCAGAGGGGTAGGGGCACCCAGCTGTTGTAGGCTCCTCTCCAACCCCACTTCCCCACTGCCACCATTCACTCTCACTTCTCCATGAAAAGGGGAGACTGTCAAGCAGAAAATAGAAGCTGCTGCCCAAACATTCACACGAAACTCTGATCAGGGCAAGCTACCTATTGTGTCACAAGAGGCCCTGACCACCTGCCACGCCACCCCCACCACTGAGCACGCTTCTCAAGACCACACTTGCCCCTCACTAACCTGTGATTACACTCAGGGTCACATTGCAGTGGGCGCTGCCCACTATATTTTGGGCAGTGCAGAGATAGATGCCAGACATGGAAGTGGAAAGGTTGGTGAGCTTTAAAGACCCACGGATGTTATCTGTGGATACAATTTAGCCATCAGTCCGGGGACCTGCTTTCCCTTGTTGGAGATTAAAAAAAAACAATCCTTCCCTTCTTCTGGAATATCCTCTTTCACTGTCTGGGAGTCACCACTTCTCTGTTCCCTGTGGGAGGGGAAGGGTATGTGGCCTCTGTTTCCAGTTGCAGCTAGCTGAATACCCCTCTCCACTTGGGTTTTATTATCAAAATGGCCAATGAAGCTGGGGTGTAGCTCAGTGATACAGTACATTCTTAGCCATGTGCAAGGCCCTGGATCCAATTCCTAGAACCCCCACCCCCCAAAAAATCCTTCAACAACAACAAAAAAAGCAAGCAAACAAAAACAGTAAATGAAAAGTAGGTACAAAAGACAAAAACTCTATAATACACCCACCAAGTAAATCCAAAAGTTGCTACCATTTCGCTATTGCTTATTTCATTTCTCTAACACTTAAAAGCAATACTGTGATGTGCTGCTTCAAAAAAGTAAGAACATTACCCCACACATCCACAATACCATTGCTATACCTAAGAAAGACTCCAAAATCTTAGGTATCCTCCAAAATCTTAGGTGTCCTCCAAAATCACCCAACTCTTCATATTAAAAATGTCCCAGTTGTCGCTAAAAGAGTCTTTAGAGCTGGTGTGTTCAAATCATGGATATCAATAACCCGTTTTACAAAGTTAGTGAGTGGCGTGGTTAGACCTGGACACAGGCAGCCCAGCTAACCCTAACCCCTTTAATTAACAAGAGCCTGTGCCAGTGCCTGCACCTGTCGCCACCTCCCTGTCCCTCCTCTTCCTCCTCCCCAGCCTTTCCAGCAACACCTCCCTTTCCAGCACAGGCCCTCGGTGCCACTCTCTCACCCCTTCTCCAGGCACAGTCTCAGTGTCTCCAAAAATTCCCTCACCTAAAACGGGTGCAAAGAAAACCTGGGCCACTGGGGACAGCCGCTCCCACTGGTAGTGAGCCAAAGGGTCGCTCCTTGGGGACTGGCAGCTCAGGGTCACGTTGGCCCCCACCTGGGGCACACCCAGGAGACTGCAGGATGGAGTTGCTGGAGGCACTGGGGAAGGGAAGACAGTTAAAGCACATACCTGGGAGACCCCCAGACACCCCCTGTGTCACTGGCTGTCCTGCCCCCAGCCTTGCCCCTGGGGAGAGAGACCTGCTGAACTCCTGTGGGGTGGGCGGGGCGGGGCGGGCCTGGCAGTGTGCACTTCTCACTCACCCAGCACGCTGAGTTCCATAGTTTTGCTGTCATGGCCCCTGTCTTGCACATTCACAGAGCAGCTGTAGGAGCCAGAGTCTTTCTCCTGGAGGCCCTGCAGCCTCAGGGACACATTCCGAGAGGGCATGGAGTAGACCAGGGATACTCCAGGGTTGCCTGACACAGAGCCGTTGATGTAGGCCAACACCTGGCGGGGTCAGGACACCTCCTTGTCACTGTCTCCATACTTGGCCTTCTTCATGCAACTCTCAGGGTTCACACCTCTCCCCAGCTACCCTCCCCTGTGCCAAGGTATTGTTCCCCTAAGGACCATCACTTACTTCCCACTGAGGTTGTTTAGAAGGGTGCATAATAGAAAAAGGAGGAAGTAAGGGAATTTAAAATTGCAGAATAGATCTGGGTTTTGTAGAGTTTGAAATTTATACAACTGGAAGGGTTCTCTTTAATGAAGATAGAAACATCCTTTAAAAAAGAGCAAATGACTTTATTGAATACACTTTACAGGACATTGGAAGGAGTCTGTACAAGTGAGGGGCTCTGAAAACTGCTCCACGGCTTCTGGTGAACCAGCCTGGAGCACTCAGGAAGGGAAAGAGGTGTGACGCATGGGAGGCAATGCCTCACCCTCTCCAGGTGCAAAGGGGCAAGGTGACAAGTGATGACCATTCCTGAAAGTAGCCTGTACTTGTAGCTGAAGCACAGAGGATGTGAGCAAGGAAACACATCCGGCTTTTGAAAGTCATGTTACAGGCTGTCAGCCCCCCACTCCTCAATTCCCCAGCCCCTTCTCCACCACAGCCATGTCAGTGTCTCTTTGCTTTTAAGTGTTTTTTGCCTCCTCATGCACATTGGGGAATTGAACCCGTGGCTTCCATGCTAAGCTACATCCCCAGTCCTGTTTTTATCTTTTGAGACAGGGTCTTGCTAAATTCCTAGGCTGGGCTTGAACTTGTGGTCCTCCAGGCTCAGCCTCAGCTGGAAATACAGGGAGGCACCATCACCCAGCTCTTTTATTTTATTTTATTTTTGTACCAGGGATCAAACTCACAATTTCACGCTTGCCAGGGAGGCACTTGTGTAGTTGAGCTAAACTCCTAGCCTCCACCCCAGCTCTTTTAATAGTGTTTTGTGCGCTGGGGGCACAAATTGGGAAAATTAGGGGAAAGAGAGGTCTTTGAGGGAAGCCTTCAAGATGAGCAGGCTGACCCTGATACTGCGAGCACACCTGCTGTTCCCTGCACTTTCTTCTTGGTGCCCGTGGCCTCCAGCCATCCCTCCCACACTTGCCAGCTCCTCCCTACATCCCGGGTCCACTCTGTGACCACCACTACCCGGGATACTTTTCCCCTGCCCTTACCTGCTTTAGACCTTTCTTCTCTTTTTTTTCCAGGAACCACATCACAAGAGGCACTTCCCACGGCCGGCCCTCAGGCTTCTCTCCTTCCAGAGTGTACCAGGCCGGGAGCACTATGTCTCTTCCCTCTACCGCCTGCAGTTTGGTAAGGCCGGCAGGCATGTGCACCTTCACATTGGCCCCGGAGAGGACTGCTGGAGACAGAGCAAGCCGTGAGCTCCCCCACAGGGCTCAGCCCAGATACTGGGGCATCGAGGGGTGCCCAGGGGCGGCTGACCCACAGTCCTGCTTCCCATCGCCCACTCATGGGTTTCTAGTGAGGGGAGGAACACACCTCTGGGTATTTATTCATATCCAAAAGCAAATATTCTGAACAGCCAGAAGAGGGGGCAGATTTCCATCCGGGAGGGGAAGAGAACAGGAGAAAGGGCAGATCCACTACTTTTGATCCATACCTCACGCTGCACACTTGCTCCCCCCCTCCTTTCCGTGGGCAAAAAGCAAGGGCACCGGTGGCAGTGGTAGGAGCCTCCAGAGTTCTCAGCTGGATGGGCACAGCGGGCTGGGAAACCGGGTTGCTCTGGGTTACTCTGGATTACTCTTTAACTCTGCGGCTCTTTCTGAACAACGGGTTGTACAGAGGCAAGAGGCTGCCCAGCAAGCGAGGCTAGCAAGCTGACTACGGTGGCCTGGACTTCCTAGGAAAGTGCAAGGTTGGAACCCAGAAAGTTTTTTGTTTTTTGTTTTTTTTTTAAATCGGTACCAGGGATTGAACTCAGGACTGCCTGCTTGCAAGGCAGGCGCTTATGCCGCTGAGCTAAATCCCCAGCCCCTGAACCCAGAAAGTTTTGGGGGGTCCGGGTGATCTGGGTGGGTCGCAGGGAATTACAGAAGAGGCGAAAGCCAGTCTTTTTTTGGGTGAGGGAGCGGGAAGTACCAAGGATCAAACTCACAATCTTGCCTTTGCTAGGCAGGCACCTGTGCCACTGAGCTATATCCCCGACCCCGCAAAAGCCAGGCTTATGAGCAGAAGAAAGCTTCCTCTGTGGATGCGCGGCGCCCTGGAGATGAGTTCAGGTGTTCGTTGTGTGGCTAACGCTTGGGACGCTCAACTTGTGCTCTTCGGAGAGGAAATGGAGTGGCCAAATGTAAGCTCTCTGGGGAGAGAGACTTGGGGCTAGCACCTGGCCGAGTCTCAAGAAGCTGGTGACCTCGTCCTGGACCCCACGCTCCCGCAGCCGCGAAGAGCGGCCCCAGGCGGGAGACGCGGTCCTGCAGGTGAGAGGCCAGGCCACAGCCGTGGACTCAGCCCTCGCAGAGGCGCACTGAAGGCCTCCGAGGCCGGGAGCGTGCGGCCAGGATGCGTGCCACCCCCACCGCCTTCCCGCTGCTGCGCCTTTCTGCAGAAGCCCGCCCTATTCCTTACACGTCGAAGCACCCCCTTTCACTTCCTGGCAGGAAACTTGTGCCCGCTGATAAGGCAGGAGACAATGAAAGGGGGGCCGCTAGACCGGAGGCCCTACAGCCAAAAACAATCCGCCCTCAAGGAGCTCGACGCCCCTTGGGGACCTAGCCAGTGGCCAGTCTGCTAAAGTGGGACACACCGGGAGCCTTGGGGCTCTGCCTAGCTCACTCCCAGGCCAGAAAAGATTCTGGGCGGGGAAAGCACCTGCATCCGCCACAGGAGCCTCAGGGACTAACTCCAGGTCCCCATTTACGATTGCACTTTGCAAAGCGCAGCAGGGAGGTGGTTTAAGTGCACAGTGAGGTACACCCGGAGTCCCAGCAAATGCTCCCGGTCCTGCACTCTCCGTCGGAGAACTGAGAGCCAGAGTCTGCCCCACCCTCGCTCCTGGGTGTCTGCTGGGACAGAAGACCAGGTCTCTACTTTACGTCCCTTCCCCCACCCGGCATCTTGGGTGCCATTAGGAGAGGAGTGGGTCCCAGTGCCTTCACAAGAAGCACAAGAGCTTCTTGTGGACACAAGAGCCCAAGAAGCGACCATTCTGGCTCACTGAGACCAGAGTTAGGAACAGGGAAGGCCTGAAAAGGGCCTGCTCCCCAGGGCGACTATTTTTAGTCTCCCTCTTCTCTGAGAAACTCCCCCTGCAGGCTTCTCACGCCCCAGGGGCATGAGGCTGCGCAGCCTGGGCAGAGCAGGAGGGCCCTGAGGAGTCAGGACAAGCAAGCCGGCTGCGAGCCGGGTGCCTGTGCCCTGTGGGGGGATTTAACACTCAAACCTTCGGGCAGGACAGCAGCTGGGCAACCTCCAGGGCAGCCAGTGGGAACAAGTAAGTCTGGACCCTCAGTATACAAGCTGAGGCTTGGGAGCCCGGGTTGCCATGAGCTGCAAGTGATGACCAGACAAGCATGGACTTTCCTTCTTGCTTGGAGACCCACCATCAGGGAGAGGGATGGGGACTTGGGGTGGACTGCAGAAGGGAGAGCAGCTGAGGATGAAGTTAGGAAAGCAGAGGTGGAAGGCTGATGGGTCCCGGTTGGGATCTGTCACATCTAGAAGCAATAAGCTGTCTGGCTCTGCAGTGGCTGGGGGCTGCTCATGAGACCCACGGGGGAATCCTAGTTCTTCATGCCCGACACCACTGGTGCCCAGGCCAGACCAGAGCAGACATGGACAGGAGCTGGTAGATACCACCATTTGGGCTGAATTTAACTCTATATCCTCCTTCCTATCCCCACTTAACCTATCTTCCTCCAGGCTGAGAAAGAAATGAGTTAAAGCTGAGGTCCCCAAACCTAGACTGGGACACCTGAAAGGGAACAGCAGAACAGCCTGGAAGGCAGCCAGCGAGTAGTGTAGAGGGCTTTGTTCTTATGGGGTCCTTTTTTCTCCAGATGTGGTATTGGGCCACCTCAGCTCCCAGGGAGGCCAGGTGCCCCTGGGGCTTTCAACGCTCATCAAGCACTGGCTCTGAGAGGTTCCCTTCTTCTCTTTCTATCCCCTCTTCCCTATTCCCCTTGTCCCTGTAAGTCAGGGAATCCAGGAGGTGGTGGACCTGGAAGCAAGGGGGTATCCCAACTCTGTTCCTCTCAGCCTTTGAACCCTTCCCCCATTTCCTGTGTCCAAACGGCCTCCCGGTCATGCTTTGGGGACACCTCCCATTATTTCCAGGGCAGGAAGCAGGAGGGGGCAAGCGGGAGGAACTGGGCTTGGGAACTGACATGAAGCTCGAGGATCAAGCCCGAAGGCCAAGGCATTCTCCTGGGATCTTGGCATCAAGCTGTGTGGGTCGGGGCACAGACGGGGCTGGAGTTAAGTCCTTAAGCTCTTTAGTCAGTGTCTCATCTATGCCCCGGCTCATCCAGCTCTGCTGAGGGGCGGGGAGTAGGGGAGGGATGACTCCTGTAACTTTCACCAGAGGTGGCCGGGTCTACCTGGAGATGCCCTTGGGAGTGGAGGAGAGGGGTGGAGGGGTGGAGCGGGAACGGTTCCTGCCTCTCATCCCACTTATCCGGGTCTTGCCTGGAGATGCCCTCACTCCAGCAGAATAGAAGCTGTCCCCGCTACAGTGCGAGACAAATGAGCCCCAGCCAGGGATGCCCAGGAGAGCGGGGGTGGGGAGTGCTGCAGACGCGTCCAAACCAGTTTCTCTTCAGTGCCCAGGGTCCCCTCGGGGCCACACGGACCCATCCTGCATCCCGAATCCCCTCCAGGTCCCGGGTTTGACTCACCGAGAACACTGAGCCCCAGGAATAAAACCAGCGGCCCGTTGGTGGCAGGGGGTGCGGGCCGGGCAGTCATGACCCTCCCTGGTCCGAGCGCAGTCAGGGCTGTAGGTCCCGGCCACAGCGTCCGGCAGGTGCGGAGGCTGCGCGACCGTCGGCCACTGACCGTCACTAGGGCGGCTCCCGTCCAGCCCGCGGCCGGCGCGGGGGGCGGGGTGGGGACACCGCGGGGGCGGGCCGTGCGCAGGGCGGAGAGGCCGGGCGAGCGGGACCGCCGCGGGCCGGGGTGGGGTGGGGTGGGGGTGGGAGCGGACCCCGCAGCGCCCGCAGCCCAGGCCCGCCGCCGCCTCCCCCGGGCAGGCTGCAGGCTAGCGGGGGGTAAGTGGCGGTGCCCCGGAGCCGGCCGGGGGCAGCAGGAGAGGGGCGGGCCTGAACTCACACACGCCCGACGGGAGGCGCCCGCACCCCGCCACTGTGAACTTGGGGCTCCAAGCTTGGGGGATCTGCGTCTGCAGATAGCCAGGGCGGCCTCCTGAAGGACAGGGAGCCAAGCCCCGCACCAGGGCACCAGGTCCGCAGTGTGGGAGCGCGGCGGCGGAAGAAGCCGGCTCGCCGCCCCAGCGCGGGTCCCCGAGGGCGCCACGCGGAGTGGGGTGGGGGTGCGGGTGGGGGCGGGGGCCGGGAAGACCGCGGCGCACTGCGGGTCTTCACGAAACCCCAGAAACCCAGACCCGAGGGTTCCTCCGGCCTGGTGTCTCACACCCTGAGCTGGGAAGAGGGGCCCCCGCGCCAAGAGCTGCTGAGCGGGAAACTGAGGCAAGCAGTCCAGTTCCCAGCTCCTCAGCCTGGAACAAACTGCTGTAGGCCTTACACTGACCGGGGAGGAGGGAGGCTGCGGGAAGGTGCATAGCCCAAAATTTTCTGTTTCTCCTTTATCCCTGGCGTCTTCACTGCCTCCCATCCCCACCGTGAACAGCTCGGGCCCGCTCTGATCCTTTAATTCCCTGGACCGGATCTTGTTCGCTGTGAATTTAATTTAACCGCCCCCCTTCTCCACTCGCTGCTACTTGGTCAAAAGGCACCTCTGCGCCCTCTGCCGGTCGGGGCTCCCTCTCCTAAGGGCACGCTCCTCTTCTCCCTACCAACAGCAGCTGCCGCAGCACCGCCACCAAAGCCTCAAACCTTAGTTTGAAGCGGTGCTTACCATGGAGCAAAGGCCAGCTAGGACAGAAAACATGAACACAAATTCCTAGGGCTGCCCGCTCGCTCTAGGGGAACAGCCCAGAATTGTCTGGGAATAAAAGCCAGGCCTCCTGGATTCTCTATACCCGTGTATGCGGTTGTGTTTTTGACACTGAAAATGTCCCTTGTGGTTATGTTTTCTGCACAACGCACTATAGACCCTCTGGGCTTCTCAGCTGCTCTTTCCTAGTGTGACCTGCCTGGCTCCTCTTCAAATACTTGCCATGCAGTGGCTCTGAGAAATGCCTATGCAAACACTGGACTGCACATGACAGCCCTGGAATCCAATACTAGGTAGCTCAGTGGCCGCAAAGGCAACAGTGGGTAACTTGGAGCCTGGTACCCTTTTGCGGGAAGCTACCCAACTGTGGGCTGTCAAGATTAGGGAGGGGGGTCTGGGGATTTAGCTCAGCGGCATAAGCGCCTGCCTTGGAAGCAGGCAGTAGTGAGTTCGATCCCCGGTAACAATAAAAAGGAAAAAGACCAAAAAAAAAAAAAAATTAGGGAGGGGGCAGGTTATTATTTTTTTTTTTTTCTCCTGTCCTACTCACATTTCTCTTGCCTTCCGTCTGCATTTCAAAGACCCTCTTCTGTCGTTTCAAGACCAGGGTTGTCACCCCAAATTAACTACACCTTCCAAGAAAGGCAATGCAAAATGCTGATTGTAACCCCGGAATGCAGCAGCATCTGGTCACACAAGTATGCTCATCCCTGTTAAGTGCTTACATAAAGTATAGGATCAACGTTCACTCCCTGTAGCTAACTTTCCCCTCAGAATTCCCCTCAACCTGCCACATGGGAAGTAAAGCCACTAGTGAGGACCTGCAGCAGTCTCTTCAGGACCTTTACCCCATCATGGAATCCTCCAGCATCTCTTATTCCATCCACTTCTTTTTTCAGAGCCTGAGGGAATCAAGCAGTGGAAGTGGACACGACATCTTCATTGTTCTCTCAAGTCTGGGCCAAGATGCATTTTGGGGTGAACACTGCTCTCTACCCTGCAGTGAAGGAATGTTAGCACACATTATCCTCACATGCCCTGGGAACTGCTTAGACAGGTCGTGTGTGAGAACTAAGTTCTTAGTTCATGTTCTTTCAATCACACTTCCCCTCAGATCATCAAAAATGTCCTCCTACAGCTTCTTAAATGTGAACACTGTTAAGCCTCATGTGATCATAGGTGAGGCTTTGGGAGGTGACTGATCATGGATGTATACTGCTCATCAGTGGACCAGTTCTCTGGTGTGTTTATAGCTAAACATGGTACTGGGAGGTGAAGCCTGATTTGGCAGGGGGGGTCACTGAGGGAATGGCTGGGAACCGTATGCTTCTCCCATGATCCCTCTCTGCTTCTTGCCTGAAATGCCATGAGCCTGTCATACTACCTTGCCTTGCAGCCAGCTGACTATAGACTGAAACCTCTACAAATCATGAGCTAAAATAAACCTTTTTAACTTTCATGTGTTGGGGATTGTGTCTCAGTGAACCAAGATGGACTTTGGTGCAGAAGAAATGTGGCCACTGCTATGATGCTGCCTCACTATATGGTTCAGAAACCTTTGGAACTGCTTGTGAGAATTTAGCCAAGTTTGGAGAAGCAGCCCTAGAATGCTGTGAGCTGAGCTAGATGGGAGACTCTGGTCAGAGCTCAGAAGACGGAATGTTGACTGCAATACTGCAGGAAGGCCTCCCTTCACAGTTACACTCCAGGCCACGTGTTACACTCTGGCTGAAAATTTCTCTGCATTGTGCTCAAATCCTGAGACTCTGGGGAAGACTTAGATTTAGGGTGACAAACTAATCTGGTCGAGGAATTTCAAGCCAGCCAAACATTCAGGCTGTAGCTTGAGTATTCTCAAGAACTTCTAGTCAGCTGTACATTGAGCAAGAGCAAATAGCTTTTGAGTTTGGCCAGAAAGGAAAGTCTAGTAAAGATGGGTCTGCAACTACTCTGGGGAGGGGAAAGGAGGCAAGAAAAAAAGCCCTTACGTACTTTTAGGTACTCTGGAATAGGACAACAGGAAAAATATCTTAAGGAAATGAGGAAAATCTTAAGGAATATCTTAAATATATCTTAAGGAAAAGTCTCTAATCTTCCTAGGCTCAGGATTGCAAAATGAGACTTTGCTTTGAGAACAGCCCAGAGCACCATGCTCCAGAATGGCAGCAGCCTATGGAATGGAAATTGAGTCCTGGGATTCCTTTCGCTGGGCTTAGCCATCCAGGCACTCAGAGGCCTCTACTACCACCAGCCAAGATGCAAAAGGGCTCAGCTACTATCCCAGCTAGCATCAGACTTGGTATTACGTATGTGGTACTGTTTTCAGGCACATGCAGAACCTAAGTGTTTATGGGGTCTGGGAGGCTACAACCCAGATTTCAGAAGACTTGGGAGGCCAGACAGTGTGCCCGAGAGAACGGTGTGTGAAGCTGTGTGAAGCCGAAAGTGCAGTGCAGACCCCAGAAGGCTGGAGAAGCCAGGAATGTGGCTCATCTAAGGAATGCTGCAAGCAGTGAACAGAGCCAGACAGAGAGAAGCCATGAGGGATCTAACCACTCATAGCCACAGGGTGGGGCCATCCAGGCCCTTTGGAGTTCATGTTTCGCTACAGTTTGCCCCAGGTGCTGGTCATGGAACTACAGGATTTAATGTGTGCCCTGCGTTTTGGGCTTTTGTCCCATTGCTTTCTAGCCCTCTTCTTTTCCCTTTTGTAATGGGACTGTTTATCCTGTGCCACTGTATGTTCGAAGTGTTTTAACTTTTTCATTTTTACAGGGGCTCACAACTAAATTTGCCTTAAATCTGTAGAGACTTTTGACTTGGGTTTTTCAGCAATGCTAAAATTATTAGGCCTCTAGCAACTCTCAGAGATGGACTAAGTACATTCTGCATAAAGGGATGGGCATAAATTCTTTTGGAGACCAGGGGCAGAATGTTATACCTTTTATCCAGATGTCCTTTTAAAGTCCCATGTGCTTAGGTGTGGGGTTTGGGGAGGTGACTCAATCACAGGTGCATAATACCCATCAGTGGATCAGTTCACTGATCTGTTTTTTTTTTTTTTTTTTTTTTTTTTTTTTGTCTTTTTCTTTTTTATCGGTACCGGGGATCGAACTCACAACTGCCTACTTGTGAGGCAGGCGCTTATGCCGCAGAGCTAAATCCCCAGCCCCCTACTGATCTAGCCTGGTTGGGGGTGTGGGATGGGGGGGGGTCATTGGAAGCATGGACTAGAATGGCATATCGTATCTCCCTTGATCCCTGTCCCTCTGCTTCTTGTCTGCCATGCCACAAGCAAAGCTTCTCTTCCATGCCTCTCTTCTGCCTTGGAGCCAGCTGACTATGGACTGAAATCTGTATAAACCATGAACCAAAGTAAACCCCTCCACCTTTCATTTGTGGGTGCTGAGTGTCTCAGTGACAAAAAAGTAACTAGGACCAATAAGGTGTCTCTGCCCCAACACTGAATTAGTTATGAGGCTCATTTAAGGTCTTCAAAGCCCATTTCGTGTTTTTAGCAATTCTTAGTTATCTGACAAACTGCTGTTGTTTCTAGGCTGTTCTGACTGAAGTGATTGGATACTTAGAATCAGTAAGCTTTTCCAGCAAGCCTCCAACTGCCAGGACATGGCTCTGTCTTTTTTTTTTTTTTTTTTTTTTGTCTTTTTCCTTTTTATCAGTACCGGGGATCGAACTCACGACTGCCTGCTTGCAAAGCAGGCGCTTATGCCGCTGAGCTAAACCCCCAGCCCCCTATGGCTCTGTCTTTTTCTTCCGCTGATCAAAGCATGTCAAGCCAGTGGGATAATCTCATACTGGATCTGGTCTTTGCCACCTTTTCCATGCAGGTCATGGTAGTCTAGCCATGCCCCACTATTCTCAGTAGCATTAACAAGCCTCAAACATCCTCACTAGATGCTCCCAAAATGTTCTACTTCAGCTAAGTAAACAGCAGCAATAGGAAATGGGACGGAGAGAAAAAATGCATGAACTAGTAATGTAGCTCGGACTGGCCAGTGGCAGAGTCTGGGGGATGTTATGTAGTACTCCTAATAATAATGCTTCTCCTACAGCACTTAGCTTTGAATACTGTGAGATTACAGCTACAAGATGGTCAACACACTCAGCATCTAGGAATTTCAAATCTAAGAGAGCAAATTCATGAGCTTCCTAAGGCTCCTGTCTACAAGTTGTGCCCAGGGTAACAGGTGCTACACTCACACACGCTCGGGATAAAAATATTCTCCTAGAACTAGCACCTATTTTTAGCAGCTTGCAGCAAAAAACTGCCAATGCTACAAGCCCAGACTCAAATAACATAAATCACAGCCATCCTATTCATGGCAAGCTCTCTAGTCATTAGAAAAAATAAATGTCAAGAGGCCAAGATATGAAAATGAGAAAACCACTCGTCTGAGATCATGCAGGTTGTGAGTAAAATTGTTTTTAACAATGTAAAATTTTATCTCCAATAGTACTGAGAAACCAAGAGAATTACAGCTCTTACCTGCATCTGCAGCCTGCTTAGAGTAGAGCAACTGAGATGTTGAGGAATCATTAAAGATAAATACTTGATCTAACAAGTTCCTACCATGAAGCCAGAGGCCCTTGTCTAGTGTACTAGCAAGATGTTCTTATCAAGCACAGTGGTGGCTGACCCATTAAAAGTTCTGAAAGATCTAACCCTAACAGCTACCTTTCTAGTGGACTGATACTTCTGATTTCCTTTCCTATGCATCACTTCTTAAAATTCTTTTTTAAATGGATGCTCACTCCCTCTCTTAGACACAGCAAGACTACATCAGTTTCCCACTTGTACTCCTTGCCCCTGATTACTGAATATAACAATAAGGAATAACGGCCTTATAAATGTAAGCTCCTAGGGTTGGAAGGAATAGCTTAGTCATTTTTCTTTTTTTTGTTTTTTTAGTTTTTGATACCAGGGATCAAACTCACGACTTCCTGCTTGCAAGGCAGGCACTTATGCCACTGAGCTAAATCCCCAGCCCCAGCTTAGTCATTTTTAAAAAAGAAATATAAAATGAGAGGGTCAACGATCTTTGGTACTCCAACAAGAAATAAGGACACTGGTCCCAAGGGTGCAGGAGAAAGTAAGGTGGCCCTGCTGCTTCCACTACCATTCACGGCAGTGAAGCCAGAACTCTCTGCAGAAAGCTAACTACTAGCACACCACGAGGCCAGGAATTACTTTAATTTTTTTTTTTAAAAAAAGTTTAAATGGTAACACAACCATAAAGTTGGTACATCACAGAAACAAAGATCTTTGCAGGCAACACTGATTGGAAATAGCAAAACACTTGGTTGGTGAAAAAATGAAACTCTATATACAATAGTAGCTAAAAGGTGATATTGAAAAACAGTCTTATTTACTGTGACTCAAGATTTAACTTGCCGTTATCTATTGCTTATTTATTCAGCATTGTAAATAATACTTATATAGAGACATAGAGATGTGTAAAAATGAAATGTTGTGAAAAAAATACAATTTTTCAATTTCATATGAAACTCAAAGTATAAGTTTTGTCCAATATGGAATGTACCTACATTTGTTTAATTAGGGCTCTAAAATCCGTTTAAAAATTGTTTTTTAAAAAAGAAACAACTGACCCACCATGCAAGTTGTTACGTATCTTGCTTGCTCAAAGTGAGCATTTTCTGGTGAAGTCAGTTTTTTCTGCACAAAGTGTACTGTGACTCCTTAGAGGTGTACTGGCCCAGTTGTGGAGAGAGTCCCCACAAAGAATCTGACGGCAGCATCTGAATGAGGAAGGGTCTGGGTAATGGAAAGTGAGAGGGAGGTAAGAGCCCAAATCCTTATGAAGGATGACACTCAGTTGTTAAATTTTAAGGGGTATCCAATGGCTTTTTCCAGGCACTCAACTAAAGAGCCTGCAGAAAGAAAATCCCTCTCTACTTCTACAAATTTGATATAGATAGATTTGGGGGAAACTCCTGGATCCACAATACAGTTCTGAGACAAAAACCCATTAATACCGACCCAATCTTTGCTGAAGGTTTTGGTATTTGCCTGGAAATGTAAAAACAGGCACTGCTGCAGAGTCCTGACCTCAGCAATTCCGAGGTAGCAATAGGTAATTCGGGAGGGTTCTACTTCCACCTGTAGTGAGGCTTGTGCTGACAGGGTTTCCAAGTCAACCCTGCCCTCTTTTCCTGGGTCCACAGATTGTTGCTCCACGTGGGGTGACAGGGGCCTCTGAATACATTCTTCATAACCAATGGCATAAAGGCCCGGGCTTTTAGGAATGCCTCCTGGCAATAAATACTGAACAACATTCCCACCAGTTGGTTTGGAGTGGGCAATGGGTATCCAGTCAATTTCCATGTGCAACTCCAGGCATCTAGCTTCACTAATAGTGATCTCCAAAAATTTGTAGTAAACATTTTTCCAGTTCATTTTTTGCACTCGGGTCATAATGATCCGACCTTCAGGCTTCTCGGAGTTGAAGTATTCCCGAAGTCGCTTGCCGAGGGGCACCTGGGAGCTGATCTCAGCATAATGGTAACGGATATCCTCTTTCCAACGGGTATTGTAACCGATTCCAAAAATGGCCAGTTTATTAGAAAGATGGAGCCTTGAAAAATCTGTCCAGCTCTGAAACAGTTCCCATTTCAACTGTACTGACTCCAAAATCTGTACGATATTCTGCATGATGTCTCGCTTCCTAGAAAGAAAAATGAACATCAAATTCCTCAGGTACCTAGAATAGCACTGTCTAAGAGAATGTTCTATGATGACGATACCAATGTTCTCTATGCTGTTCAGTACGGTAGCCAACGGAATTTAAACTGTGGTTAGTATCAGTGAGGTATTAAATGTCTAATTGCAGTATGTTTAACTTAAAAATCACATTTAAATAGCCACATGAAGCAAATAGTTTCCATTCTAGATCAGTACTCTATTACAAATATAAAAATACTACGAGGTTTCTAGGAACTAATTATAAACTGCATTCTATCACTTCTACAATCTTGCTACATCAAGTTTAATATATATTAATATATGAGACTCTAAAGTTTCAGAAGTTCAAGCTTTTTTCCTTTGTGCTACTGGAAACTGGACCCAGGCTTTATACATGCTACACTGAGGTACATCCCTAGTTGGCTTCAAATTTGAGTTTTCTCTGCCTCAACTTCCTGAGTACCTGAGATTACAGGTAAATGCCACCACGCACAATAATGAGTTTTTTTTTTTTAACTGAAAAAAGGTAAAACAGAACTTCATAACAAAATTATAGGAGAATAATACTTAGTACACTGCATATTGTCTTCAAAGTAGTTACTCAGAATATAAGATATGGGCATAAAAAATTCTCCAATCAATATTAGCATGAACCTTCCTTAAAAATACAAATACTTTGGGTATCATCCTTGTACAGGAGCCGTGCTAATGCTCTGTATCATTCCAATTTTAGCATATGTGCTGCAGAAGTGAGCACAATCATGCATTTTTAAATTAACTGCCAAAATGCGGATGATGGCTTTTCTAAGTGTCAAAAGAAGGTGAAGGATGCTTTACACGGAAGAGCATCCAATGTCACTTAAAATAATTAACAAGCTAATTCTGAACATTCTGAAAAGTTCAATAATTTTGGTACATACACATATGCTGTAGGAAAACATACACATAACTATGATGAAATAACTTGATTAAAAAATGGTATTTTTATTGGTCTGAAATTCATCAGTATACTCAAATTTAAAAGCATAAGAATCTGAGAATTCAGATGAAAAAAGTCCACATTAGGCTTAAGTTTGTTTTGTTTTTTGGTATCAGGAATCAAACTCAGGACTTTGTATTTGCCAGGCAGACACAATGCCGCTAAGCTACACCCCTGGCCCTTAGGCTTAGGTTTTAAGAGAAAAAGAAGCAAGACAATGAACTGATACTATTCTAGAAAATCTCCACTTTTTTTTTTTTTTTTTTGTGGTACTAGAGATTGAACTCAAAACCTCATGCTTGCCAAGCAGGCACTTAAGCCACTGAGCTACATCCCCAGCCCCCTCCATCTTTTTTTAAACTTTTTTTTGAGACAAGGTATTTCTATGTATTCCAGACTGGCCTGGACCCCACAGTGTAACCCAGGCTAACCTCTAACTTGCAGTAATCCTCCTGCCTTAGTCTCGTGAATGCTGGGATTATAGGCATATACCACTATGTGGGACTTAAAAAACCCTTAATAAAGAAAGGGAAAAGTATAGAAATGATCTCAAGTGATTTATATAGTCAACAGAATAAGATACATAATTTTACAAAAATAAAAATTAAAAAATGATGTATAATTTGAAAACTAGTATTTCATGTATTTTATACCATGTATGAATGTTAGTTATAAGTTTGTTTCTCAAGAATGGCAAAACTATGATAATGCAATTTGTTAAATATTAATTTGGAACCAAACTATCACACTCCACATCAATCATAGTTCTAACACACAAAACACCCAACTGTCACATTCATTCACATTCACAAAGGCAAAAAAGTAGGCCTGCTCACAGCTTGCTGGGAAGGCTCTGAGGAGGCCAGATCTCAGGCATCCCTACTACTCTCATATCCTCCAGGGAAAGAGCTTCTGGAAGGTTCTCCACAGGCATTTTATCTATCTACTCCCCCCCCCCCCGGCTGTCTTTGTGAGAGGATGACAAAGAGCTAGTATTTTGTTATCAGTTGCTTCTTTAGCCTAAAACTGCCCTAGGTTTACCCTTTGTACTTTCTCTTGAAAGCTGCTCAACGTGGGTGTCTATGTAAAATACTGCATTCCAGGGAACTGTACCTCTAGTCAGGGGAAACAAAGGCACTGGATGACTTTTCTATTTGATGGTGGTGTTTGTGAAGCAGTTACAAAATTACTCTCTGTGTGGGTCGGCACCTTAAAGGAAAATTCTTCTGTACCTACCATCCTTCCCAGGCTCTTTTGCGATGGTTTATCAACCTCAAGGAGAACACCAGCAAGCTGGGAAGGAGCAGAGATTTGTGTGTTTGCCCACTGATGTATCTCAGTGCCTAACACACAACAGGTACCTGATAAATATACACTGCATAGATAAGCACATTAGGTGACTGCTCTTGGGGGATGAAGATGTTATATTTTACTCTAGGTAATGTCAGCTGGTTCAATTAATTCCATGTGTACCTAAGCAGGGAAAAAAATTCACTGTCCCAAGAAGTTATTCAGCACCATCACAGCCGTACGTCACTAGTGTTCTAGCCAGACTGCAAAACTCACTTCCAATGAAATGACTGCAATGGGAAATAGATGAACGATCAAAAAGCTCTTCAGAACTCACTTCATGAGTTAAAACCTGGGGAAGGAGCAGCACAGGCCAGAGACTTCTCCAGAGCCTGTTAGTTTCCTCCCCGGAGACCTGAGCCTTATGCTGCTCTAGGTGCAAGTTAAGCGGGCATCGTGACAACCAGGCTCACGGATTTAATAGCTCCTGATTACTATTTCCTGCTTTCCCAAGTTCCAGTTACCAGCCAAGTTTGAGTGGCTTCCAGGCTGGTGACACCAGCTCTGTGAAGTGTGAGTTCAAACCTAGTTATATCACTGGGCCTGTCCTGCAGGTCCCAAGTGGCTGTTACAGAGAGAGGGGACATTTTAGTGACAGAGCCAGTAGTGTTTTTGAGAATGGGAGTTTGAATTTATGAACTTGTAGTAATTCATTTTTAAAAAGTTTCCTTTCCTTTGGTGGACCCTGATGTCACAATTTACAAAGTAACCACTTCCCAAAAAGAGATGGCCTTTTAAAACTTACTGATCTGCATCATAAACTCTTTTTGAGGATAATGGCTTCAATTTTGGGAAGCAATTGATGCCTGAATGGCACACCCTCTCTTCAATGAGAATCTGACAACACAAGGAAATTTTGATTCCAAAGATACTCTGAAGAAAGGAGGTTTTAAAAGGGGTGACGGTGGTAGTGGTGGTTTGTGAATAAAAACTATTTGTTATTTATCATAGTCCTTTTTATCTCACCTTTTGCTTTTTTCTTCACTATCTCTCAAGCATTAAGCCCTCATGGGTGGAATGAAAGACAAATTGCTCTCCTAATTTTAACTTTTTTTTTTTTTTGGTACCAGGGATCAAACTTAAAACTTTGTACTTGCCAGACAGGCACTGTGCTGCTGAGCTGTATCCTTTTGCTCTTAACTTTTAAGGTGTTTTCTTCAATAGATTTAATCAAGACCTTGATGTTACTAAAGGCACTGTAAATGTAACAGTTGGTACTAAACTCTGAAGAAGAACATCACTTAAGGTCAATGGAGGACTCTTATGCCTGGGCTTTTAAAATCCTTCCTCCAGTAACTTTTCTTTCCTGAAGCATAAATTGATCATCTAAGAGCTTGTTGTTTGACTCCCAAATTGTAATACTTATAAGGAATTTAAATGGCCCTGCTAGCATTTCATGTAGCCCCAAGTAAGCTCAAGTCCCTGTGACTCATCTTTGCACCTTATATAAAAATCCAGATACTCACATTCACACATGGGCAAACACCTCTGACATGCTTAACTTTTATGTGTACATTTAGTTCTTGTTGCATGTAAAATTTCCAATAGCTCATGTCACTGCTGGAAAATTTAAGCTAAGAAGTCAAGAAAGAACAAACATGCTGGATGTGGTGGTACATGCCTGGAACGTCAGCACTCAGGAGGCAGAGACTGAAGGACTGCTGCAAGGCCAGCCTGAGCTACAACGCAAGACACTCAAAAAAGCAAAATACACAAATAGGAAAGGGGGGAGAACAGACAGACATGCTTCCTCGCGGGACAGCTGGAACTCTCCAGCAACTGAGGCATGTCTAGCTACTGTCTGATCCTAACAGTCAGACACATTTTGTAGAAAGGTGAAGCTACTTACTGTGCTTCTTCAGAAGACTCCTGTTTAATTTTTAATGTTCTCTTTGTGACAGGTATTTCATCTGAAAAGCAAAGAATTTGGAACAGATTATATTTTTCTAAGTGGTAGTGCACATTTATGTAAATAGTTGTATTTACTGTTCATTCCATACTTTCCTTTATCAGGCTTTCATGCTGGTGCCTGGTATTATTTAATATCAAATTATAAATGTAACTTCTAATGGTATAATGGTATGTGTACATTTATATGCAAGATCAGAAACCAGCTCTACAAGTACAAAATTCCTCAAGGTCACCAGTGGATTTCTAGCTAGCAGCTTAAAGCTTAACTTCACTGAAAACATGATTTTAAAAGAACAAGATGAAAATAATTCTGCTCTATTTAGATTTTCTACATAAGCTTTATAGTGTAATTACTCCCCCAACATCAGGACTGGCATATTCCAAATGCTACTTTTTCCCCCAAAGGTTTGGTAACTGAACTCTGTCTGACAAAACCAGTGTTAGGAAGGCCAATGTAATTTAGATCTTATTACTGCTGTGAAATTAAGAGGCAAGGATCATTTGGCATCTGTCCCTCTTACTCTTCTATCTTTAAGTCCCTTTCTTACACACTATCAGTCTTACAGTTTTATGGCCTCTTTCTCTTCTAAGATTGAAAAACAGCATTCATATATATTAACAATTAATTTTTTATTTTGAATTACTATTTTTCTGTTGTAAATAATTCTGTGAAAAAAGTGCCAGTGGGATTTTATCTTCAGCTAGGGAAACACTTTTATACTGCCAATTGTACACATGCTTCCTTGGGGTCCTCAAGCATCTCACTTGGAAAGATGAACATTTACTTAAAAGTGAGGGCTTGGGGCTGGGGATTTAGCTCAGTGGCATAAGCGCCTGCCTTGCAAGCAGGCAGTCACAAGTTCGATCCCCGGTACTGATAAAAAAGAAAAAGACAAAAAAAAACGTGAGGGCTCATGAGACAAATCGCTATTAATATACAAGGGCTGCAGCAGAAACCTCATCAGTACTTCCAGATTATGAAAATCAAAATTAAATACTTAATACAAAAAGAAATAAACAAAAATTACATATATACTTTTTTTTAAACATATATACTTTTAACCACACCACAAAATTTAGATTTGATGGCCAAGAATTTCGTTTTCTATTTGAATACCTTTAGTGTACACATGAGTCATTTCTGCTACTACTGGGATGGGATCCCTTAAGAATCCTGAAGGAAAATGATCATTAATGCAGTCTAGACAACAGTTCTTTTTAGTTGAAGTCGTTTTTGTTTTGAGACTGAAATCTAGGAAAGGACCATTCACAAAGGGCAAGCAAAAAAGGAAAAATATTCGGAATGAAGGAAATAAAAAAGCTTCACTTAGAGCATTCGTCCAAGAGTCAGTACTCTGGCAGGCATCAAAATTAGAAGGTGCAGGGTATTTAGAATTGCAAAAGATTCTACTGAGCCTTCTTGGGTAGCTCAGAACTAGGAATTCCTCAGTCCTCAGGAACCTGGATGGTACTCAAATCATCAAGCACTAGCTGGCTGTTTAAAGGTAAACCAAGGAGGTCCACATTCCCCAAACACACTGGTGATTTGCTTTGTGATGACAGTGAGAACAGTACCAGAAAACATCACTGATGACAAGAAGCATCACATATACCAGGCAGATACACACACACATACACACACGTCTACACACACACACACACACACACACACACACACACACACACAGAGTTCTCATACATATTGGCTCTCTTACCCAATTCCTGATCTGTTGGATAGCCATGGAGATCCTGACTGTGGTTTCCCCAGTCCTCCTGTGAATAGTCCTCCATAGTGCTGCCATCTGACTCCAGCTCCTGGTACAAGCCACTACTGTTAATAAGTACAGGCTGGCAGGGCTGAGCATCCCATCCTCCCTGACCAAACACCTGTTCCAACTGTTCAAATGTGTAACTGCTCTTTCTTTTCCCAACACCATGTTCTTTCACCCGACTGTAACACCTGCGAAGGGTCTAAGACACAAAGTCTTTTGTTATTCCTTTAAAGCTGTACTTCCTCTTCCAGATACGGACCACAGATATTAATTACTATTAGACAGACACAGACAGACAAACATAGACACATTGTTACAGGAATACTAGATTTCAAATTCATTATTATATTAGAAAAATACTAATTTAGCATTTACTCAAACATGTTATAATTCAAACAATTATTTTGCAATTAATTATCCATTAAACAACAAGAAACATTAAAACATTATTGCATGTATCCATACACATATTTTATACCCCCTCCCCCATTTATAAAAAGACTAAGGGGGGAAAAACAAGAAAAACCAGCCAGCCAATAGGATGCACACCTGCCACAGAACAGAGAGAGCTGCTATGGTGCCCAGAATTTGGAAAAAGTGAGAGGAAGAGGACAGAAAGAAGGACTTCCCAAAGAAAAGAACAGCTTCCTTATTGTTGACTAAAAAAGGAATGCAGAATAAAAACATTGCCTAAACAAACTACCTAGTAAAGCACACTATTAATTTACATGGTCTACTGCTTACTAATTCACTGCCTTTGTGGAAGCTACTACAATCTAACACAGAAGTCAAGGCAATAACACAAGTTCCCAATCTCAAACAGCAATGATCAAGAAGCAGTACACTAATCCCTACAAATAGAAAATACCAAAAGACAGTTTACTAGTCTACTAACTCAAACTAAACAACCAACCAAACAAAACCAATCGTCTCTCTTCTAAAGGGAGAAAGATGTAGGAAAATCATTTTCCTGCCACATGCATACAACAAATTATCATAAAGCAAGCCCACAGATAAAACCTAACCAATCTTATTATACTGTACAATCCTTCCAGTTTTCCATGGTCTTTATTTCTAATGCATATTTCTGATTACTAACCCAGCTTCCTGAGTTAATTTACATCTTACAGTATCATGTATATTTTGGACGATAAAAAAAAGTTTTAGCTTCTACATTTGGTCACATTCAGATTTTATTCCACCTCTGCCTCCTTTCATTCCTTCTAATCTCCTTTCAATGTTACTGGGTTTCACTCAGCATTTTGAGAGATGAGACCCTTTTCCAAATACTGTCTAACTCAATGACATACACCCAGTTTACCTTCGACTTAATTTATAGGCATTAGTATGACTGTATGTTTTCCTAAAGCTGAGATTACTTCCGTAAGTCAATGTATTATTTACTAAAACTACTCTCAACACTCTTCATAGCTCTTTGGGAAAGTTCACTATCTTTAAATCACAGATAACCTACAAGACACTCTACCCCTGGGGACCAGAAGTCAAGACAGGCAATGTAACAAGAACATGATGTATCGGGGTCTCCTCAGGCATAAACAGAGTAAGAAAGCGTCACCTGCCTTAGAGCTAACCAGTCTGCCTCTAGCCCAAGAACCTGACCAATTGTCTCTTTCCTGATACTTCTTGTTACCCTGAATGACATTCAGAAATGCGAACCCCCAAAATACTGTTTTTTAAAAAAGTGCTTCTTCTTTCTTTTCATAAGGGACAGCCATATCCACATTAACTTCTCAGGGGAATCCAGACACGTGAACTTACATGTGTCTTACAATGGAAGAGACAAATGCCGCAGCATCTCATCCACTGTCTACAAGCTCCCCTTTCCCAGCACCCTCTGCCCTCCTTGCAGGGACTGGAATTTGAATTGCAAACGTCTCCTGCCAATTTATTTTTATCTCATAATGTCTAGTTTCTGACTCTAAGAACACCCCAACCACGCTTTTCAGCTCCATCAAGGTCCATAAATGGAGAGTCCCAACCCTGTCCCTTTTCCCCTTCCAGGCCATAAATGGAGATGGAAACCATGCCACTGTTCACTTCCCTGGGCTGCCCGGAGAAAAGCTTTAGCCACAAAGGAGCCAAATCCAGTCACTCAGCCCTGTCACTAGGAGCTAAATTCGCAAGTCAAGAAACAAAACCAATGTTCCTGTGAAGACAGGTGTGACATTTATTAGGATATGAAATAGGCACCAATTTTTAAGCAAAGCCACCAATTTTTGATAATAAATGTGGTGGGAAACAGAAAAGACTCACTCTCTTGGAAACCATCAAATTGAGCTTAAAATTTCACTTGGTTTATATAATTTTAAATAATGAAACTAGCAATATTTAATGACTATAGATATGAAGAATCAGGTGATACATTTTATATTTCACCATAAGAGGCTAACAGATCTTGGCATCTCTTGTACACTTTTGTAAAGTATTTTTATAGTGCAATATGCTGATATGTAAAATAACTATGTAGTGTCTGAAGAAAAGATAACTACTAAATCCATATTAATCTGATGTGTTATAATAATGTTTAACAGATTTTCAAATTGATTTTAACTCTCTCAAGATATAAATATATATATAAGTAGTAATTTTTGGATTCAGTAAAGACCACAAAGCTAAGCTGGTATGTTAAACATACCACATCAACTTAAAAAAGAATTTAAACATCACTGCAACTATAAAGAAACACTAAGATTAAACTTGAGAGAGCTCAAAAATAGATAAAAAGGATGCATGGTCATTCAATTCTTATCACCCACAGTAAATCAGAAAAGGTTTCACATTCTACACTCAATAGCCAAGGCACATAACTAAAAGAATAGGTATCTGTATCAGCTGTCTTAAATAAACCAACTTAAAAACCTCCTCTAAGTCTGAGATTACAATGCTCCAGGCTCTTGGAAAAACAAAGTGTCACCATCCACTCCACACAGCTATAAAATCCAATACAACCTCAATTCTGCTTTCTCAGAGGGCCACGTCCTACTCAACACAAAACCTTCATTTACCTCCCTTATCTTACAACTTTATAGTAACTTAAGCTCTAATTGCTTTCACAAAGGTCTTGGGGAAGATAGAGAGCATGCTTAAAATTATCAAAGACCACACTGTGCACAATTAAAAGCTGGTAACATTCATTATCAGACATTGTTTGAATCAACTGACACTATGTTTGTGTCTCCTCCCTGGAGGAAAAGCTGTGCGGTAAGGAGGAGGGAACTAAGTGAAGGGAGGTTCATCAGAGAGTTCAGCCTAAGGAGTCCATGGGCATCTGACTGGAAGAAACGCCAGGTGATTGTTTCCTAAAAATCCCACCATTCCAAGTGCTTAACAACAAGGAGAGAGAGAGAACCAGAAGAAAGATTTGGAAGATGCCCCCATTACCAAAGCAGGGAGAAAAATAAGATGGCTGACAAATGACAATTCATAGGACAGCATGAAAAGTTTTGTCAAAGCTTAAGATAAAAGGAAATGAGAATAAAAAGATGACATTCATTGCGGATGAATGTACGGGGAGTCTGTGGGGAGGGGACAGGTGAACAAAGGCAGGAGTCCAGGTTGGCAGGATTGGGGTGTAACGGCAGCAATGCAGAGAAAGACCCAGGGTTACAGTACACGTAACATTAAATACAGTGCACAGAGCAGCTGTCTTGCCAAAGTAAGCAAATCCAGTACTGGGCTGTATAAGCAGAGGAATCACATGTAAGCTATGAAGGTGGCTCTTCCTCTCTAGTCAGCATCGGTGAGGCCACAGCTGGAGCACAGCATTCAGTTCTGGGCATCGAACCAGCTACAAGAGAGGGAAATTGTAGAGTTCAGAAAAGGGCAAATAAAATAATGAAAGGCTTGGAAAACAAGATCTATAAGGAGGGCCAGTGGCTTCAGCAAAGCCCTTCCTCACATTATTAAGCTACGTCTGGGGTGAGACCACGGTTTCTTTCCCTTAGTCTCCCCTACTCCCTCCTTCAACTTTCAGGAAACGGGAAGAATTAAGTTCTTCCCTGGTATTGCCAAGTAACAAGCAAACTAAGTAAGTTATCAAAGCACAGATCAACCAGTTCTATTACTGGCTCAATAATTTTCTCAAAGTTTCCCCCATTTCACACAATCATAAAATAATAATCATGACAAAACCACTGTTCTAACTGACAACATAAGTGAGGAGCACAGAGCATCTCATGGGGAGGAGCAGACAGTGCATACAGCTATAGACAGGTGTCTAGCAAACACTGACGTGGCCAGTCTGTAATGTCAGGTGAAAAATAAAGTCAGTCTGCGGGGAGGACAGCTGGGTTATAACAGCAAGAAAACGTTATAAGGGGAAAAAAAGCAATCAAACAGTTTTCAAATCTAGTTATCAAATTGGCCACGCTAGAAATGGATTTCATACTTATCTTAGTCCTCTGCCAACTACACATGATAAATCTACAATTTCTGTAACCCAAATGATTAAATAAAGCAATTTATTTGTAAGCAAGCCTTAAGAAAAAAATCACATGTCCTCTATGGGCAAATTATACAAAGGGTTAATCTCCAATGCCTCATTTTCTTATAAATGTGTGAAAAAACAGTATTTTAGACTAAGGCGATGGGTATCTTGGAGCAACAAAAGTCTTTGCAAGATGAATCATTTTTCTTACACCACTGCAGATGTTCTTTACTTGCTCTTAGTTAACAGAGGCAACAAATCAAAACACCATGTTTAATATTTTTAAGACTCAACATTTCGTTAATTAGCTGTACTGTGAGCATAAAAATAGGAACAAAAAAGCCTTAAACACAGAAATAATAAACATTTCTGCACAGAGAAGGGAGATGCTAAGAATCCAGCATAAATTCCTACACAGAACTTGACACAGTTGTCACCAATGACTAGAAAGGTACCACGTGGGGCTGTCAGAACTTTCACTGCCCATTTATTAGGTCTCAGGTCCACTAAATGTGGCCAACTAGCCTGCCAGGTGCCGTGAGTCAGTGGTGGTGAAGCCATGGCATGCATGCCACAGCGGGCTGTTTGTTACCACTGAAAGCGCTAAGAGGCTCTCTGTCACTGCACTAAATCCTTTAAAATTAACTAAATGAAAACCTCCAACAAAACGAAACCAAAAAGAAAAGCACAGCAATTTTATTTCACACTCCGATTCTTAGTACTATAGAACAAGTTTCAGCAAGTTCAAAAAA